ATAGGGAAGGGTGGAGGGGGTGAAGGGAGGGCAGGGAATGGGGAAAAAATAAGAACCAAGATGCATCATGTAAACGTCGAAGTTCCCAATGATAAATGTAGATGTACTGTATACCTAAAATGTACCAATAAAAAAATTTAAGAAAAAAAAAAAAGAAGTAAAATACATAGTATGTCATATGAACTAGAGAAAAATAAAGCATAAAAAGAAAGGATTGCTGGAGTGAAGCACAGGGGAGGAGGTACAATTTTAAATATAGTCATGGAAAGGCTCACTCATCAGAATGAAAATAAAGGAACTAACCATATTATCTGAGGAAGAACAAAGTAGTCATGGGAGATAATAAATGCAAAGGTCCTGAAACGTAACATCAGTTTTCCACTTCTCCACTAACTTAAAGCATCAAAACAGTGTTATTTAAACTTAGTTCAATAAATTAGCTTGGTGGAATAGATGCTGATATTACAAAGAAAATGAAAACACAGAATAAAGAGTCCAGTGAAATCTGAAGTATATGAAAAAATGACGTTCAATGAATTCTGAGTTAAGTATGTGGTGTAACAAAAGCTGCTGTTATCAAGCATTTAGAAATATTCACCAATAGTTCTTTATATACGATAGTCAAGTTGTACACTTTACTTTATATGAAAAAGAATTATGATGACTATACATATGTATGAATTTAAGAATTTCAGTGGTTTAATGAATGTACTTCAAACTGAAAAAGTGTTAAGTCATTTTACTAGGTATCTTAGTTATTTTTTTAACACATATCAGTGAGTCTTAGTTTTGTTTTCATTTAACAATACAAATCCATGAGTTTCATCTTGACACCATCTGTCACCAAGAGAATTAATGATATAATGAACAGACTTTTGATACAATGAACAGAAGTCTATAACATCCAGTAACAGTCACTTAGATTTCCAAATTGACACCAACATCAGGAGTTACTGTTTGTATCTAGATGTCTCCCCAAAAACCTTATGTGGCCATAGGTGGGGAGTTTTTAAATTGGCTGCATTAGACTGTGTGAATATGGACTGACAGTGTGATACTAGGATTAAGGATGTGGGTAATGGAAGACTAGGTGTGTCACCAATTAACAAGTTTGTAGCCTGGATGGAATATAAAGGGAGAAAAAGAAGGTAAGCTTGCTGCTTCTGCTGCTGCCTCCTACCGTGACATGGACTGTTTCTCCTTCGTGAATCCCCTTTGCTATGCGACTCTGCTTGGAAGCCAGCTGACTATGGACTGAAACCTCTACAAACTGAGAGCTAAATAAATCTTTCCTCCCTTACTTTGTTGGTGTTGGTTATTTTGTCCCAGCAATGAAAAAAGTAACTAAGACATCAGGATAATAAAAAGAAATTACAGGGGCCAGAGATTTAGCTCAGTGGTTCTGTTGCCTGCCTTGCAAGCGCAAGGACCTGAGTTTGATCCCCAGTACCAAAAAAAAAAAAAAAAAGAAATTACAGCAAACCACAATGATATGGCACTTCAAACCTACTAGGATGGCAAAAAGAGGTAAAACAAGTACTAGAAAAGATGTGCAGAAACTGGATTCCTTATACACTGCTGGTGGAAATGTGAAACAGTGAAGTTATTTTAGAAAACAGTCTAGCCATTCCTCAAAGCCTCAACATAGAGCTATCATATTACCCAGTAAGTCCAATTCTAAGTATATACTACAGAGAAATAAAAGGACATGTCTATATAAAACTTGTAGACAAATGTTCACTGAAGCATTATTTATAATGGCCTCAAAATGAAGATGACCCAAATGGATAAATGATGGTATATCCATAAAATGGAGTATGATTCAGCAATCTGAAAAAATGAAGTACATGCTACAACATCAATGAAACTTGATGAGCAGTCACAAAGAACCACATAGTGTATCCCTCCATTATATAAAATATCCAGAATGGATCTATACAACATAAAGTAGATTCATGGTTGCATAAGAATGAGGAGAGTTGAGAAGAAATGAGGATGACCACTAATAAATGGATTCAGGGGTTTTTTTTGGAGTGATAAAAATGTAAAATTAACTGTGGTGACTGATGTACAACTCTGCACACACTAAAACCTACTAATTGTTAAATATATGAAATTATACCTCAATAATTTTACCTGAATAATTGTTAAATATAAATTATACCTTAATAATGTTAAGTGCAAGAAAAAAATTTCAATTATAACCACTGTTCAATAGAAACTAATTTTAAAAATTAGGGCCGGGGATTTAGCTAGGCCAGGGATTTAGCTCAGTGGTTCTGGCGCCTGCCTCGCAAGCGCAAGGTCCCGAGTTCGATTCCCAGTACCAAAAAAAAAAAAAGTTAATTAGTTACCTGAGATCTTCTGAACGCTTCTTAAATATACAAAACCTTTTACTTGGACGGTTACTATGAAAGCTGGAGAGACAAAACAGATTTTAATAATTTTACTATATAACATCTCATATTAACTTATATTTCAAGTCTATGATTAAGTATCTAATTTTTAACAAAAGATCATGATTTAAAACTGAAATGTTTGTCTTTACTTCAACATTTTATCTTACATTCAATTTTATCTTTTTATATTCTAATGATATGTATTTCCCTTAGCACATTCTTAGATTAGTCATCATTATATAAAAAGGAAATGCTCAGTTTAAAAAGTCAACAGCAAATTAAACTTTTTCATCTATAAAGTATTAAAAACAATTCTAAATTTTACTATAATTTGAATGATAATTTTTAAAAATCATTGTCCAATCTCATCATGTTTGTGCAGAGGAAGAAAAAGAGAATCCAAATAATATAGAAAGTAAACACTACTTGGGCTAAATGCTACTTTTACCATCTGTACATTCAAACATTAAGAGTTCTCTGCGATTACTAATAGTGGTTACAAACAAAACTAAGGACAACTCAAAAGTTAAAACATTGCTTCTCTTAAGCACAGACCAGAAATTAACCAAACTTTGTAGCCAGTAGTAATAGGTTTATACAATGTTTTAACTCTAATAAGAAAAGCTTCCAGAATTGGAAAGCTGGGATTAGAGAGAAAGTTGTGCCAAAGGATCTGCTTTAACAAGCTTTTCCACTGATCCCCACTTCCACCCTACCCAGAGCTAGAGAGCTAACCCAGGGCCTCTGAAATGCTAGGCAAGTGCTTTACCACTGAGCTACACCCGTAGAACTTCACTGCTTCTTACACAAGCTAAAGTTTGAGAATCAGTAGCCAAGATACTAGGCAAACTGTTAAAGTATCACAGCCTCTGTGTATAGGAAAAGAAATACTCTGGCTCGCTGTATTTCCCAGAAAATATCCTCAGAAGTTTTCAAATAGTCATTTTTTTCAATCTGGGAGTAACTGCTATTAAAGAATTTAGAAATTAAGACAGTATCACAAAATTAAAGTTCTTTTAGAAGAGATCATGAGCTTGGGAACCCCCGAAATTATACAAAAAATGTGTATATACAAATGTTTCCTCAGAAGAATGACTGGAGGATTTTGCCTGATTCTTCAAAAATGTGAACCAAAATAAGTTATTTTTTTAAAAAGATACTTAAAAGCTCTTCCTCTTCAAATAAACATATTGTTTTTTACCTATATATTGGTAAGAGAGAAAAAAAATTGTTTTAAGGTCTTCTTGAGGGCAATTTATACCATATTAAAATATTGGTAACTAAAATTTTAATTGTCTGAATGCAGTTGTAATTCTGGAGTTCCCTGTCTATAAAAGGTCTTTTACAGTGTATGTTATCTATACTGAGTACACAAATCGCACATTTTAGTTTTGTGTATTATAAGAATGAAAAAGTGATCTACAGTTCACAAAAAGAAAAAAAACCTACCCTTCTTCCTATTACAGTTTGATAAAGGTTAACAGCAATACAAAAATGAACTTAAGAGAAAAAGCTTTGGGTTACAATATGGCAAAAATAGGTTATAACCTAGGTTTTAAGTCTGCCTCCTGGGTGTCATGGCTTTCCTCATGATAGCACACCCTGTGTCCTCCAGTGTATACTTTTATCTTGCTTTATCCTTTTATCTCAGCCCAGGCTCACTCTACTCTTCACTTTTACTTTTTCAAATAAACTTTGTCACTGTTAAAAAAATTTTAATTTGCCACCTAGTTATAAAAATATAAAATTATCAAAACCAATTAATTCTCTATAAATGCCATATTCCTCCAAACACAAGACCTAACTGCAAAATAAGACCTTGTATGATTTTTCAGGATGCTTATAATATAAACTCTACCCCCAAAATAACCCCCAGTTAAGATTCTCAGCCAGGTGGACACCTTTAGTGTGTCTGTCACAACACACAACATAATTTTAAAATAATATTAATGTATAATCAAATATAAATATTGGCATTAATACTTAAAACAGTAATATAAATTCTAAACAGTAGTTGTCAAAACCCAAGCAGGTACCTCTGGAGGAAAGTTAAATGCCAATGTAAATAGATGCACTTGAGACTTACTGCCTAATGACTAACAAGTACAGACATAAAACACAGATAATGTGCATGTTCAATAATGAATGGACATGGCTGTGTCTAATATGAATCTTCATAATTCAATGTTGTGTGCTGTAATGGATGTACTTAATGCACTAGTGTGAAATAAACATTTTCTGAATTTTGGTGCCAGCAATTTTTTGTCACTTTTTGTGGACCATTATTCTTAACTGCCATCATTTCTGTTGCCACTGCTATCTATCTCTTATAGTATGCAAAATTAACACTTTATTTAATCAAAAGTCTGTGAACCCTAGCCTGCAAGAGGTTGTGACTTGGGTGAAAAATTCATGGGATAAATCGGACAGCTGCGTTGCCAATGCACTACAAGCAGGCTACATGAACAAGAAGTGCTCATTTAAGGAGGGTTCTATTGCTGGACATGAGAAATTGGGGCAATGGTTTTACAGGCAATGGAGTTTGTAGGAAATTCAGGCCAGAATTTGGGATTTGGCAAGTTATGAGAATGTTCCAGAAGATGACAATATGACTGTATTTGAATATAGATTTTTGTACGTGAATATACATTTTTATACATGAATAAATGAAGATTGTTGTACATTAAAAAAAGGACATCCCTTGAAAATAAGCCCAAGTGTGCAAGTTGTGTCTTGGAGCAAAAATTAATATGAAACCTGGTCTTACTTTTGGGGAAATACGGTAGGTGAATTTTATTATGTGTAAACTATACATAAAAATAACCCTGACAAAACCCCTCTCTGACCCTATTTTCTTAATAATCTTGATTCCCTGCAAGTAATGACTTTACTTTCTAGAAACACATAAAAGATTATTTCCTTAATATCTAACAATGTTGAAGGTGTGCCTAGTATCTAAGATACTAGATTAGAAGTTTATGATATAACACCAAAGAATATAAGCTGCCTGACCTAGAATTCACAGTTGGGGATAAGGGAATGAGGGAAACAGACAGTGGCTGGACAAAATAAATGTCCAATAAGTACTTGTAAAATGAATGAATCCATATTCATAAATAATTAACAAAACAGAAGTCAATAGTGACACATACAGAAAGTGGGTTCCACTGAAGAAAATGTAAAATGTAGATGGAGTAGAAGGCAGCTAACAATCAGTTCATTTCAGTTTAGGGCGCTCATGTATGGAAATACCAGTGAATCCCATTAGCATGTGTTAAAAATTTTTAAGTAAAAAAAAAATCCACTTCTTACTATTTGGCTCTGGTCAAGGCAAAGCAAAGAGTAACTGTGAGGATATAGAGGGATTGTCAGGAAAATAAAAGGAATTGAAGGAGCTGAAAAGAAGTTAGAAATTGGACACTGAAAGTTCTTTTACTCTCCAGAAAATTTATCCTATCAATATTAGGAAGCAAAAGGATTTTAAGCCAAAACCACAACATGAGCAGATATGTCTATTCTAGCAGAAGAAAGGAAAGACTTGGAAAACTGTAGGCAGAACATCAATTACAATGGAATCACAAAAATTCAACTGTTCTTCTAGTGACCAATACCAATAATCTATGTAAAATATAAAATGAGGTCAAGCAGATTTTATAGAAATTCAGAACTCTGTATTGTCCATTTTAATGCCAGTTTTCTTTTTCCTTGGAAATTTAAAAAAATTATCCTTCAAAGTCTCAGTGAAATGTCATTTATAGAAAGTCTTACAGAATTCATCCTTACCATCTATGTGCTATCACTGTTGTTTGCTTATCACATTAATCTGAGTAATATATATATTATATAATAAATATAAATATATATTATATAATATATATATCTCTCGCACTAAATTGTGGAAATTAAAGTCATGGACTTTACCTCTAACACATAATAATGACTTATTCTTCACTACCAACTTATCACACTTCTTAGTAAACTGTACTTCCTAGTAAGTACATAAGGAGTATTTGTTGAAATCAATCTCTCCAAAATAAACTCTGCTACAAAGTAAGAGCTATCAGTAATGTCCATTAACTTAATTCTACTATCATATGTGTAGGGGGGGAAAGGCCTTACACATCTTTTTGAGAAATAACAGTAACATTATATAATAATTCCTTCATATGTTTCAGATGATTCCTATTACAGTACTACTTAGAAACCATAATAAGATGTAATAATTTAAACAGGTAACCCCTTAAGTAATGCTTTTTAAAAAAATGACTTAAATTACAAATTTAATGATGGTTTTCTTTGAAAGCCTTACTTCAACAGTGTTCCAATTGCTTCAAAATTTCTTTAATAATTTTTAAAAATTATACTTAGGGCCTCTTATAATTACAAGAATAATGACTGTCATCTGCAGTTTGTTATGTGCTAGGTGATATGATAAATACAAACAACTTCTTCTCAGGGAAATAATACACAAATACTATAATAAAAGGAAGAACAGATGAATGGCACACAATTCAAAGAAAGGAATGCTTGCAATCAGACACTTTAAAGAAGGTAAACGGAGGCCGGGGATGTAGCTCAGTGGTTCCGCCGCCTGCCTTGCAAGTGCAAAGTCCTGAGTTCAATACCCGGTACCAAAAAAGAAGAGAATATCAATTTGGGCCAGGGATTTAGCTCAGTGATGCTGCTGCCTGCCTCGAAAGGGCAAGGTCCTGAGTTCGATCCCCAGTACCACAAAAAAAGAAGGTAAATGGAGAGGGAAAGAGATAAGTATGTGTGGAAGCATACATGGGAGATTCATCAATGTGTGAGAATGAGAATCAGTTGAATGATGAAAAAGAATTTCAGTAGTGGCCTCATGACCAGAATGGTCTCTCATTTTCACTAAATGGATATGAGTATAGATGGCTGGCTAGCTGGATAAATGGACAAACGGACAGACAGACATATTACAGAGAAAGACAGAAAGAAAAGAAACAGACCCAGTAAAGTTCCTAACATCATTGAAAATCCTGAAGTCTCTTAAAGTAATTGGTTTGAAAGGACAACTTTCATGAGAGTATATTTATCTGGCAAATATATTTAAAGCATTTAAAATTTAGTCTGAAAATAACCATTTTTTAACACCTATGGGGAAAAATGAGTTCCACCGAATCATTATTTTCCTAACAAACCTATCCTATTTTCATTAGTTTCTTATAACTCTAGTCCAGTAATTTCTTGACTTAAGGCAGTTTCTTAGAATTTCCTTATTGGTAGCCCCTTTTAGCTCCTTACAGAGCTAATTAGATGACTTTTCAAAACAAATACTTCCTGAACTATAATTGCCAATTTACAGGTTTAACTCATCTTACCTCATCATATGATTTACATAGGCTTTGCTACAGCTAGTGTTGTATCTGCAAAAACTACAGTGGACGTATGTAGGAAAATGATTTGCAAAATCTTTTATTTCAGAACAACACTCAATGCACTTGTGAACACCCCGATGATACCTTAATGGAGACATAAAGAAAATGATATAAATACATTTTAAAATAAAAACAAAAGAGAAAGCAGTATTACTGTTCTATTAACTGAAGTGTAATGTTCTAAGTTAAATTTAAACTGGTATTTTACACAGATAAAACATTACCTTAAGTTCCTCAATGCTGTATTAACTTTACTCTTTTTATTGCTATTAGCCAATGTGCTTTGTTTCTTTTGCACATTAGAGGTTTTTGATTTGTATTTAGATTTATTTCCATTAGGCTTACTTCCATTAGATTTACTGGCATTGGATTTGGGTGTATTAGGTTTACTTGTGTTTAATTTTGTGGGATTTTTTGCAGTTATATTTTTTGTCCTTGGAGGTGAGAGCTGAAGGGTAGAAGTGCTTGCACTAATAGAAGGTGTAGGTGAAGATCCTGATTGAAGAGGTGCAACTGAAGCTCGAATGGTAACCTACAAAAGTGAAGAGAATATTTACTTTAAAAAATTAACCACTAAATATTAAAATACACTGTACAAAAAGAAAGTAGACATCAAGTATTTTGAAAAGACCACAGATTAACTATAATTGGGTTTAGTCTTGTATTTACACTAAATGTTCAAAACAATTAAATGAAATTAAACTTGGTATTTATTTACTTGTAAAATTATATCTTGTATTGATATCAATGTTAACATGTAATTAATAGATAATTAGGAGTTAATGCAAATCCTATGACTATCAAAAGAGCACATTTCATAGCTATTTTAATGCTCTGATAGAACTTAAAAAATTCACAAACACAGAGTTCAAAATTTAAATCATAAACCCTGAAAAGTAACTACAAAGGCCTGCGTTACCTTTGACAACTATAAAACAAAGACCTACATTAAATGCAACCTCTTGTTTCTGGGGCTCACTGACCAAGAAATGTTTACAAATGTTTTAGGAAGGGCTACATCAATTCATTATTCTGTAAGGAGTTTCATATCTAGCATTTCCTTAAAGGGAATTAATGCACACTTTATCATTTAGAGCTCAGAAAGAAAATATTTAATTATATATCTGCTGGTTGATGATAGAAAACACAATTGCCTACTAACGTTTTCATTAATCATTTGGCTATATTCTTTTCATGTATTTGAGGAACACCATATGACAAGCTCCTACAGAATACATGTGTTTGGGTGTTATACAAAAGCACTATGCCAGGAATCAAAGGACCCAAAGTTACATCCCATGCTACCCCTTCCTAGGAATGTGACCTTAAATAAACAACTCATCTTCTTTAAGCTTTTTCAAATCTATAATATAGGGGAATACTTGTTATATGGATTAAATAATGTATGAAAAAGTACACCCGAAGGCTAATTCTAAGGTACGATATAAACATTTAGTACCATTATCATTAATATTATTATTATTAATAAGGGAAGAAATGAGAAGAGGACTGCACTGCTTACATTAGTGTTCTGCATGTCTAGTCCCAGCATGAAATGAATGGACTGCAGGGAAGGATGCTTGGATAGCTTCTCTTGCTCTAGGTCTTCAGAGCATGGCTTTATATTGTTTTAGTTAATTCAATAACAGACATACCCACATTCAAAGGTAAGTACCCAAAGCCAAATATAAATGTTTTGGGAATTATTTCACTTTGGATTATCCATGCCTCTGTTTCCCTCCACTGGAGCAAATATTCAAGAGCTGACTGTATATAAAGAAGTTAGAGAAAACAGATGTATATAAGGCAAAAAGGGAAAAGTAAATTACAATCATCAGTATGTTGTCAGACATGTGCTTGCTCACTTAAAACACAATGCTGTCCAGCAGCAGAACTTGCTTCTCTGAGTGTAGACCCAGAAACAACAACTTCAACAAACATCTGAGAACCTAAGGTATTCAAGGCATTGTATCAGATATTGGGAATACAAAGATAAATAAAATGATTCCTGATATTAAGCATCTTATAGTTTAGCTGCTATAACTGACATGCTGCCAACTGGAATGGTTCAAAAATAGCCTATATAATACCAAAACCAACCCACTGACCCAGGGAAAAGCTACTCTAGTTGCACTTATTGTGAAGAAATACCATTCTGACATAGCACCTGCCACTGAACTCAAAACAATGGTTAGAAGTTTTTCATTTCTACACGTAAGAATAATAAAGTTTAAAATTAATCTTAATAAAAAACAGGCGTCATTTAAAAAAATATTATATAGTGGTATCTCGGTTCACAAACTTAATTCATTCCATGATTCTGGAAAAGATGGCCACTGTTGTGTTCATCACCCTATCCAGTTTGCAAACAAAAACAAAATTTTGCCAAATGCTTCTGTTTGCAAACCAAACTGTTTGCAAACAAAAGCATTCATGAACCGAGGTACCACTGTACATAATAGATAAAATCAAGAAGTTAATTTTTAATGTATAAAATATTAAAATGCAACATATTTTAACTCACTTTTGTTCCAGGAGGCAATCCTTCTAGTTGTTTAGGTTTTACAAATGTTCGATGATGTTGGGTCTTGTGATCCAATTTTTCCTTGCATGTCAAAAATTGCAGCCTGCATTTTGTACAACGATGTATTCCTTTTTTCTGGTGGAAGCAAAATAAAGGAGGAAAAACTTTTTCTATAACCATAAATACATATGTCCTGAAACTACTCTAACTTAATTTTAATGATAGTTTACTCTCTTACCATAAATAATATCAAAATATCATTTCATTTTTTGAACTTTATATTAATATTTGGGCCTCAGAAGTGTTTGTTACCATACAATCAAATATGAAAGTTCTACTAACAGGTTCTAATGAAAGTTCTATCAATTGTGGCATGAAAGCTCTTCTATTTATAATCCTTCAGTAAAAACATGCTATTGTGAAAACAAGCTATCCTGTGTTTTATCATACAAGTAAAATATTTTAAATTTTTTGCTATTTCCAGTTTTGGTTGATGAGTTAGTAAAATAAACCACATAATTCTCAACCAAATATTTCAAAGAAGGTTGTGTTATTAAAATGGTTATATAAAGCAGCATTGTCCAATACAGCTTTCTACAATGACGAAATGATCTAGAGCTATGCTGCCAAACATGGTAGCCATGAGCCACATAGAGATGGTTACTGAGCAACTGAAATGTGGCAAGTGTAATTGAGGAACCAAACTTTTAATTTTAATGAATTTCAATTTAAACAGCATCATGTGACCAGTGGCCACTACACTGTACAATATGGATATGGAGGCATAAAAGAGAACAGCTGATCCCAATCTACCTACCAGCTGAGAATTCCTGAGGTGAGTCCCTCCTAAAGCCTTGTTCTGTTGTATTTCACAGATGAAAAAGGGGACCCAGGAAAAATCTATGTCACCTTGCCATAAATAGTAACACTGCCACACTCCTTAGTCAGTGTCCTTGTACTACATAAAATGAACTGAAATCTTTACCTACATACTCTCATTACTATAAAAACCTATTTATATGTGTCTATACATATATGTATATATTTAAAACAATGCATAACTACAAAAGAATGTCCTCTAAACTTGTATCTCTGCTAGATACATAACTATTTCTATTTAAATACAACCAATCATTTGTAAAATTCAAATTCAGTGGATGTACAGGGATATACCTAGCACAGTCGCTGGCACACAGCAAGCATTCCATAAATAAAGCTAAGGGCAGAAAGTAAATACTGTACTGCATGTTCTCAGTCACATGTGGACTAGAAAGAAGTTGAAAGTAAAACAGTGGTCACTAGGGGGCAGGAAAAGTAGGATAGTAGGGACGGGGGAGGTCAGAAAATGGATAACAAAACACAGATAGAAAGGATATGTTCTGGTGTAGATGGTAAGGTAACTATTGTTTATAACAACTTTTACCTATTTTGTAAACTAGAAGAGGTCTAAAAGTTCCCAACAAAAACAAATGAAAAATGTTTGAGAAGGAAATGCTAATTACTCTCATCTGATCATTACACGTTGTATACAAGTTTTAAATTGTCACACTGTACCCCATAAATACTGTATAATTACGCCAACTAAAATTCTTTTAAAAATCAGAAAAAGGGTTTGTTACATGCTCACAATAATACATAAGAATAATATGTTAACAATTCTAGCTGAATCTCAAATGTAGTACATTGGATTATATCAGAGGGACAAACAAACTCACTTGTACATGCTCAAGGAAAAGGAAGAAAAAGAGAAAACTTGGCCCAGAAACAAATACCAAAACAGGGCAGAAATAAAGTTCACTACAGTTCAGTTCCCAGAATGCTTTTCTCTATTAACACTCCCTAGGTTACCTCATCCTAGATTACCTTTAATATCATGAACCCAACAGCCTACCTGACATTATTACTTGATGTCTAATAATATTTCTCAAATCAACAGGGGCAAAACTGTACTCCAGATTTCTTCTCTATATCCTTGTTCCCACAGTCCCAAATCTGTTCTTTTCCCAGTCCTTCTCATAGCTTAGAATATGGTAACTTTATTCTTACAGCTGCATAGGACAAAAATTCAGTCACTCTCATATCCCACATCCATATTACATTAATAAAACCTGTCAGTTCTACCTGCAAAAATACTCAATCTTTCCACTTGTCATTACTTCCAAACACTGCTATCATACTGGTCTAACCCATTCACCCGACTATGGTAAAAGCCTTCTAAATTCTACCTTTTGTGTCTTTTCTTCCCTATTCTCTCCACAGCTGCCAGTGATTCTTAAATATGCCCTATCTTTCCTTTAAAACCTTCCGGTGGGTTTGCAAAGTCCTGTCTCTGGCTTACAAGGCTCCACATGAACTGGCCCACCTACTACTGCTACAACTTCATCATCTACTATTCATCCTCCCAGCTATGCTGACTTCCTTGCCTATCTTTGAGCACTCCATAAATATATACACATACATATATACATACATGTTTTGAATATATATATATACTCACTTTACTGCCTATACTGTATATAACATTAATATTCCTTTAAAAAGGCCCATTTATGTCCACCTTGTATGAAAAACAGCAACGATTTCTCCATTCATACCACCTCCCCATTCCTGCACATTTTCCATCCACATAATTCTAACCAATATATACATTCAAACATAAATACATACACATTATCTTTCTCCACTATAATGCAAATTCTAAAAGGTATAGACTTTGTCTTGTTCATAGCTATATAATACCTAAAACAGCCCTAGCATGTAGTGAAGCAATCTAAATATCTGTTAAATAAACACTGAGGCAGAAAACAAGAGACTGACAGAGAAAAATAAATATAAACAGCAGGTATACTTTAGTTCAAAATGACTGCCATTCTATTCAATGAACATCTATTCACAGTCTTAAAAGATATCAATTTACTATTCTCTCAGTTGGACTCAAGTTGTATGTATGCATTATTTCATTGTGTTAGGATGAATATGAAATATTAGTTTTTTTGTAACATGATGTTCAAAGAAACAGCAATCTATTTCAAGTATAGAGAAACACTGCTTGTAGTGTGTGCGCATGTGTGTTACTGGTAAATGAACCCAAGACCTTCACACTGAGCTATATCCCAGTCCTTTTTTTTTGTTAAGACTGGGTCTCACTAAGCCACTAAGTTGCAAAGGCTGGACTTGAACTTGAGATTCTACTTCCTCAGCCTCCCAGAGGCTTGGACTACAGGTGTGCACCATCACACTTGGCTCATAATGTATTTTTTAAATGAGCATACAGTATTTTTAAACCTTACTATATATAATTTCTACCTCTGGATCTAATCCCAATGTGAAATCCAATTCTGTTACACAGTAGTAGAATTTGGGCTCTAAAGTCAAATTTTGACTCTGCCTTTGATTAGACAATGTGACATTAAGCAAGTTACTTTCTCTAAAGCTTTTTCCTCATTTATAAAATAGAAGTAACAATATACATATGACAGTTATGAAGATGAAACAAGAAAATGCATGTGAGGACTAAACAACCTGCTGTCATAGGGTGATTAGTATATGTAAACTGCTTATTATTTTATTAAGGATCTAATAAATTTATTTAATACATAAGAAGTTCTCTCATTATTTTTCTTTGCTTTAAACTATTTACTTATTTAACTGAAATGCCATACATCTTTTCCCTATAGTGATTTAGAGAATCTTTGAGCCAATATAAATATTACATAACTATTTGGCCATTTGAGTATACAGCTGCACAATACCTCACATCTTTCAGCAAGAAACGCTGAAGAGTAAAGACCTGACAGAACTAACTAGGTACAGTAAGAACCTGCTCTAAGTATTTGTTTCTCTAAGGTAAAGGCACCACATGCCTGTTCAATTAAGAAAAGCATCCTTACAATTCAGGATGCTTTATTTTTAAGCAAGGCCTGGAATACTTGGCCACTGATTAGGTGCTGAATGCCAGAGCTACATCCCCAGCTTATCCCATGAATTCATAGGGAACAGGTTCTGGCAGCTCAGGCTCCTTCCCATTGGTTCTCAGGAAGTTTCACTGGGTGGGACAGGCTGGCACTTCCAATGAACCCAGGTACCTTTCTCTTTAGCTTCCTTCTTTTTCTTACATTTTCCTTGATGAGTTTCAGGACACTATTTCAACTCTTAAGAGTGCTTCGGATGCTCAGTATGTACATTAATTCTCTTGGCAAGAATCTTGCCCTTAATTTGCTTGTTTACAACAATGCCAAGAGCATGATGGGTAGCACTGGAGACTCTTCCAGTTTTGCCAAGGTGACATTTGTGGGGTATTCCTTTTTATTTTTTTTAATTAAATTCTTTTATTGGTACATTGTAGGTATACAACACAATTACATTTCTCATTGGGAATTGTACCTTTACATAATGCACTTAGTTCTTATTTTTTCCCCATTCCTAGCCCTCCCTCCCTTCACGCCCTCCACCCTTCCCTATTTACAAAGACTTTATTTCCATTTTTTCCATTTCTCATCATTTTTCCTTTCCCTTCTTTCCTTTCCCCTGCCCCTCCCACTACTCCTACTCCTTTGGACCTTTTTCTTCCTATTTTACATTTTCAATTATTCATTCTAATTATTGGTACATTTTAGGTATACAATATAATGACATTCATCATTGGAAATTTGCACCTTTACATAGTCTCTCGTGGTTCTTGTTTTTCACCCTTGCCCAACCCTCCCTTCAACCCCTCCAGTCCTCCCTATTTACAAAGATTTTGTTCCTATTTTTCCATTTTCTCATATTAATCCCATTCCCGTCTATCCCTTTCTTTAGCCCTCCCACTTTCTTCCCCTTTGCCCCTTTTCTTCCTATTTCACATTACCTATTATACATTTAGTCCTTACTTACACTTTCAGTTTCTCACACCAGAGAAACTATTCGGAATTTATTCATGTGTGTCCTATTTATTTCACTTAAGAGTACTGCCTCAATGTGCATCCACTTAGCTATAAATGTCTCTAATTTCTCATTTTTTATAGCTGAGTAGTACTCTATTTTATAAAAAAAACACATTTTCTTTACCCAGTCTCCAGTTGATGGCCATTTGGGCTGTTTCCAAGTTTTAGCTATTACAAACTGTGCTGCTATGAACATGGGTGCACATATATCACTGTGGTATGATTCTTTTAATTCTCAAGATCCCCAGCAGTGGAATAGTGGGGTCAAATGGGAAGTCCAGTCCTAGTTCTTTGAGGTATCTCCATACTGATTTCCACAGTGGTTGCACCAGTCTACACTCCCACCAGCAGTGGAGCAGTGTTCCTCTTTCCCCACAGCCCCACCAGCATTTGTGATTGGTTGATTTCATGATAGCAGCTTCTGAGCCGCTGTCCCACTGCTCCTGGTCCAGAGGAAGGGGCTTCCTGGTCACCATCCCTCCCGCTGCTCCCAGCCCACAGGAAAGGGCTTTTGGGGCATTCCTTTTTAAATAGTACTCGTTCCCTTGATGTCTACAATATCACCCTTTTTGTAGATTTGCATATATGTGGCCAAAGGAAAAACCCCATGCTTGCTAAAAGGCCTAGAGAACATATACCAGGTTCTTCTCCTTCCCTGTTGTGGTTGTCATTTTGGCAAATTACTGGAAGATGGTGGTTCCAGTCAAAAGGAAGGCTCATTATGTCTTAAAAGTTATATGAACTAGGTTGCTAGCTCTAAAATCACCCAGGATGCAACTGTTTAACCTTTTAAAGAAAAAAATTACAACTGAGGTCTTCACATACAATAAAATGAGATATAAGGATCAATGATTCTTATTGGCTTAAATTGCACTTATAATGTCATCTCAATCACTACTTTATAATCTCACTCACCTGTTGTTTTCTAGCCTTTCATAAATATAAACTGTAAATATGTTGAGGGTGCTTGATGTTCCTTGTTATTAATATTACCTCTTTACATTACCTCTTTTAACTGGGGGCTCTCTACTTCCCAGGGACACCAAACAAACAAAAAAGAAAACTCAGCACACAAGACAACTCTGAGTGTGAAGATCTGACTATAAAATTACTACATGGACCACTTTATCTTGATCACAGTCATCATTAGCCCCACATGTATCCTCACTCTAGAGCTTAATAAAGAATCTGGGGAAAATTTCTTAAAAACTTCATGATAAAATAGCTACTGCTTTATACCTAACTCTCTCTTTTAAAATTATCAGTCCAAAAAGGAAATGTAGAATATCAAGAATATGTTTCCCAAACTCTGTTTATGATTAAAAAATGGGGAAAAAAAAGAAAAAAGCTGATAGGTATTGTTCAAATACAGAGTTTCGTAGTCAAATAAGTTTGGGAAATGATACATACTATATCCTGTAGATATATAATATCCATTAGATATTAAAAGCTCTGAGAAGCCTTGTTCTAAAAAACAGACAAACAAAGCTACTTAATTTTGTATATCTAGGCATTTATCAAATCCCTTTTAACACCTGATGGAACCTGTTGGGGATACCCTAGAATAGATCTCGCCAGAGCTTCTCAAGGATAGATGATGACCCAGTGACCATATAGGTGGATCCCTAATTCATTTGGAAATTCGATTTTTATGATCTTTCCCAATTAAAAATAACAAAATGATTTCATGATTATCTAACAAGTAAAATTGACAGCAAAGTGAATACAATGGTGAACAAATTAGTGTGCCAACTGGTGTGCCAATGTAATTGATAAAATGCACTGAGGCTTTTGGTGAATAGGCAAAACCTGATTAGACAATCAGATCCAGAAAATTCACTGGCTTCTGAATTTGATAAAAGCACTATTGATCTTTCAAGCACTCAACGTTATACCAACATTTTTAGCTGATACAAAGGATAGTTTCACTACTTCAGGAAAAGAACCATTAAGCTAACAAAAGAATTATAAGAAAGAATGCAAGCACTAATACCCATAGCAGAACTGGCAGAAGCTATCCAAGAAACAAGTTATAATGTAAATTTAGTTCTCTGGCACTGTTCATATATACAGCTATAAACTGGGTCTATGATGACAACAAATCTCATAATATTAATAGACGGCTAAAAAGTAGAGATAAAATTTGAAGAGAAAGAGGAAAAGATTAAGAGTCCTCAATCATTTCTTCTCAGTTCAAACTCATCTTTTCCCTTCCTTTTTTTTTTTTTTGGTACCAGGGATCAAACTCGGGACCTTGCATTTGTGAGGCAGGCGGCACAACCACTGAGCTAAATCCCCAGCCCTTTTCCCTTCCTTTTGATAAGTCCCTTCAAAATCATTCTCATATGTACTCTTAAACTATAAAATATCCAATGTTTTGTATATTCCACTCACCGTTTTTTCTCTCAAACCTAGACTTCCTATTTCTAGCTTTCTTTCAGAACTTTCATTACTTATGGGTCACATTATCACCAGAAAGGAAATAAGGAAAAGTGGAAGTTTCACAAGTAATTCTGCATAACCTGTAAATTAATTGTGTAACTTGGAACAACTCTGCTTCCCTTGCAGGACAATTCTAATCAATGATCTGAGTTATAATCAATCTTTTTGCTAAGATATCACAAACAAATAAGAATTAGTAAATCTCACCTGATGCTTCATATAATGATGCATATAGGGTGTTGCAATTTTAATAACTTTGAGACAAAATGGACACAGCAAGTTCTTAGTGTTTTCATGAGATGTCCTAAAATGAGCTTCTACATCAGAAAATGATGATGATCTATAATTGCAAACCTAGATATGAAATTACAAAGTAACAATAATGGATCATTTGTTTAGAAGAACACTATGTACTGTTTATCTAGCCCATGCCTATAAAACCTAAATTCCCACTAAGATAAACACCAAAAGAGAAAAAAAGTTATTTTTCAAAGATAAAGAATGCTTCCTGAAATATAACCAAGATCCCTTCTTTTTAATCAGATACTTTATCTATCACCCCCTATTTTGACTTGAATTTTCATTCTGGCACCTCCTGTCATATAAAGTGTTTCTGATGCACAAAACAGCTTCTCCTTTAGATTATAAATGGCCTCCAGGACATAACAGTGGCAACTCATCTTTCTCTTGCTTTCCTATTCCTTCAAATACTGAAAAGATATTCATCTCAAAACATTTGATAGGATTCTTTGTAACAGCAATTTTTATGTCCATCATGTTCCTACATTCTTCCCTAGATAGTAAGATACATCCATATGTTTGTCTTTCTCCAGGAGTGCTCTACTTTGTTTAGCCCAGAGGTAAACAAACAGCAGCCTCTGGGTCAACCCAGCTTACTGTCATTACCTCCTATAATAAATGAGTTATATCATGGGTCTTCCTATTACCAATCACTTAACTTATAAGACAGGCTTTAATTCTAGCCACCATCTAAATGGTTAAAAAGTAAAATAATATATTTCATGACATGAAAATTTTATGAAATTAAAATTTTAGTGTTCACAAATAAAGTTTTACTGGGAAACAGACACACTCACTCATTTAATTTACTGTCTATCCCTTCCTCTGTGCTACAGTGGTAGCAGACCTCACTGGTTGCAACAGACATAGTAAACCCTCAAAATGTGATGTATTTACCATCTGGACCATTACTGAAAAACAGTTTGCCAACCTTAGTCTAGAGGGTTAAAATCTTATAATCAAAACAACAAACAAATCAAACACTTAACACAATAAAATGTTTTACCTGGCAGATATATGGCATTTCACCAGGTTTATGATTGTCCTTCATATGTTGTAAAAGAACATGTTCTGTTTCAAATGATAATTCACAGATTTTACAAATGGCTAAAAGTTGGAAGGAAAATAGTATTACAACATTTTAAGAAATAAATCTTTAAAAATTTATTTTACAAATCAATATCAATATAATAGTGGTGGAAAGTTACATAGTTCGTTAACTGAGTACCAAGCAGTTTTAAACACTTCACTTATATTAACTCAATTCGTGTAAAAGCACTATGACAAAGGCATTTTCACTTAACCTCTTACTCAAGCAGTAACTTGTATAAACTCATGTAGCGATAACAAGAGGTAGACGTAGACTCTAAACTCAAGCTGTTCAGCTCCAAAATCTGTAATTTTTAATTACAATTGTAGTTACTTTATTAAAGTTTAAATGAAGGGCACTGACTTCATATTTGAAAACTATGATCTTGGGCTTCTAATTTAATTCCCCACTTACAATGTACAGGTTATGCCAAAGAAGTTATCATAATGAATTATTTGCCAGCGGGACTTTAATTTTAGTAAATAATTTTATTTAAAACATTAGAAAATTAAAATTTAACTTCTTCAATTTTGATCCCAATTTCAAAGTCTAATTCTTTTTCTTATTTTTCTAACAGAATTTAGAAGGTCTGATCACAGCTTCTGTTGTCAAAATCAACAACACTCAATACTTAAATGAAATTGTAACATACTAGAAAATTCATGGGGGGTGTGAGTACTTTCAATGTGGCACTGCAGCTGAAAGGGTGTGGGGAACTGGCGGTAGCAATGCTGGCAGGTGGTGTGGTTTTCCCAGCTCTCACTGCTCTGCTTTTCGAGTTCCAAATGGTGTTTCATGTGGTTCATGAACCTATAAAACAAATTTCAACAGGTGCAAAAATTCAGATTTAAAACAATAAGAAAATCTCATTAATAAGTGTCTGAACCTGAATATTAAAAATATAAACTTACTCAAAATAAAATCTAAAAAGTCTTAAAAGTCTTCTAGAAAAAGTGTGCATTTGAAATAACCACCTTCTTTTTAAGTTGCTAAGTAAACAGCTTTTCATTTTTGTTTTAAAATAATTTATCAATGCAATTTGGTATTTCACAAATTTGAGCTCTTTATTATGTTAGCTATTAAAAATGTTTAGATGGGGCCGGGGATTTAGCTCAGTGGTTTCGCCGCCTGCTGTGCAAGCACAAGGACCCAAGTTCGATCCCCAGCACCAAAAAAAAAAAAAAAAAGTATCCAAAAATGTTTAGATGAAACAGCGGTCTTCAATACCTGAAGTACTATTTATATTTTAAAATAAACACTGAAAGCAAAGAAACCCTAACCAAAAGTATCTAAAGAGTCCTAAGAGAAATCTTTCAAGGACTTGAACATATACCATAGATTCTAGCTGCTTAAAAGACAAATTACTCAAATGTTTTCTTGTGTCATTTTTAAATGTATGTAATAGCAATTTTAATGCCTACAATTACAAGAACCTTTTGTTTTTTTTTTAATGATACTGGTTTACTGTGAGCACAGACTGTTCATTTCAACTTGCAGACTATGCCCTTTGTAGGCGATGTCCATTTTTCAGTTTTACATTCTATTTCAGCTTCCCTTAAAAGGCTTCTCGTGAGCAGGAACTATGACCTTCAACAGCAGAGAGTGCAATATAAATGGGAATACTTATTTAAAAGAGCTTACTAAAGCTTTCTGCTGAATTTGAAAGTAAAGTTATTCAATCAAAACAACAACTTTTGGACTGGGTCCATTATTAATGATTACTAATTTTAAGGCCCTAAATAAAACAATTTTGAAACTAGGTGATGATATCATCAATCTGGGTAACAATCATCATTAAGGTTATAATATGTATCTCTTTCTCCTAGCTCTACAGATCTACACTTTACAGCAGGTTCTGGTATGCCTTGAAGTATCTTTTCTTCTCTGATTTTTAGTACTAGCTCTATAAACACCAATAGAAAATCCTAATCCAAATTAAATAACTATTATATAGAGAGAGAATATCATGAGCCAATGAGCTTTCAGATTGTAACTTTAAACACTTAATGTCTCCATAACTGCAATGAGTTAGCTAAATTCTCTCATATCACTATATGAGCCCGCTATGTGGAGCTCATATTTCTCAAACCAATAAATGAGAACAGGAATAGGAGAAGCAAAAAAACACTTCTTTCACTCATGTTCACAGAACAAATTAAACCTGTTTTTAGTGACATTCAATTAGAGGGGAAAAAAACAAAAACCATACTAGCTTGTTGACAGCTTAGAGTAGAAATCTTAAGCTCTTTGTTTCCATTCTATTAAAAGACACAATTTGTCTTCCCAGTTTTTACTGAGAAAAATTAAGGCAAAATATTGAATAATACACTTAATTTTGGTAGTGAAGTGCTTACCATTAAGTTTATATTTATCAAACAATATTTTTAAATGATAAATTCACAGATATCAAATGTATGCTTAAAATTTCTACATAGTCTGGTAACAGATATATGTAACTACTGTCCTCAAACAATTCCTGGAAAAAGGAATTTTTCACGTTCATGTTTGAAATTAAATGGGCTCATCTTAAGGTATAAACCCAAAACCTTTTGCTACAATAACTTGTAGTATAATATGCATCATATTTAAATTTAACAAGGAATTAAGTCAGTCAACCACATTTCTATGCCTATCTACTAACATGACTTTCTGTATATTTTACTATTAAAATGGTAAGAATATAGAAACAGGTAAAAGAGCTACAGTACTGTATCAGTGCTATATTTCAAAGCACAAATTCCTTTCTGTTAAACTACTGGCAGCATTAGTTCTAGATGGCTGTTACAGTATGATAAAAGGAAGTAAACAAATATGAAAATTATTATAAAATAAATATGGGGATAAACTTTGAAGACCGTAAAGTACTACTACCATAAAGAAAGCATTAATAATTGTTATAGGAGAATACCACAGAAGAAACACAGGAACATAAATAAATGCTGGGACCAGGAGTAACTACAGGTGCTTAAAAAATGCTAGTTCAGATGAAAGTTATCAAGAGTAACAGTCATACATACATATGTATGTATACATTTGCGTGTGCACCAACAATAGATCTTATGTAATGAAAGTACACTGATATCCACAACTTACTTTGAAATGAAATACCAAAAATTCAGACAGTATGAAGGAAGGATGAAGAAAAATATGATCAAGCAAGAAGAATAAAATGTTAAGGGCAGAATCAAGGTGGTAAGTATACAAGAGTCCAATGTAAAACTTGAAAGTTTTTGAAGAATAACTGAAAATTTTTACAATAAAATGGCAGAAAACCACCTTTCCTAATATAAATGTGAGGTTCTATAAGCAATGAAAAACATCACTCAATATATTTTTACTTTGTTCTTGTTAATGATTTATATATCTTTGTAATGCATCATGTAACTCAAAGACTACAAAGTATAAGTTCCTAAAATTTAAAGTGTCTGTGTATACACAATTCAAATTTCCACTAGGAATAAACACAAATTTTTTAAATCAAAGCACATAGTCTCCTAGAACAGGTATAACTCTAAAAGCAGATCACTTTTCCACTTTTTCCTACAAGATAAATGCTCTAAAAGTTATACATATGAATTGAAAGGTTTGAGCATTAAATAGATTACTATGGACAACGTAAAACAGGACACTTCTGAAGAAGTGCTCTTTCTTGTAATGTGAAGAAAAATAAAATTCAAAGACACATACAAAATGAAAAATGCCTAATAAAAATCTCAGATACTGCTAAAAGAAAAAAACTCATTTTTTCTTAAGCTAAAATATTTTGTCTTTTAAGCTATTTGAAAAATATAATGCATTCAGGAGTCAAAAGTACAAGAAAAGTTAAAAGCCTTCTAACAAGAAAATCTGCCTTTGTTCTTAGAATCAAGTGTTTAAGCTGCTTATCTAAAATGGCATAGAAAAATCAAGACAGAGATATAACATATCTATAGCATTTCAACTTTCAAATAGAAATAAAAATAAGTATTTACATACCGAATATTATTTTTTAGAATTTTCAAGCAACTGAAGCATTTAAAGGTTGTGTGAGTCTTCTGTTCTTCCTGGACATCTCCTTCATGTTTTCCATAATAAAAGTCATTAACTAACATAATCAATTTTCCTTTCTCTGAATCAACAGACTTATTTGCTGTGTTTGAAAATTCTGTTTTAGCCAGTCCCAAAAAATTATTTATCATGTCTGGACAACAATACTGAAAGAGAAAAAAGTAGAAGCCTTATTTATTTATTTATTTTTTTAAAAAAAGATTCTGTGTTTAGAACTAAGGCGAGACCATGTAAAACTATGCTTGGTAACATATTTGAAAAAATAATCACCAAAAATTTGTGGTGCATCAACACAGTCTAAAGGTTTCAAACAATAAATACCTACTATCTTAATAAACAAAAAAATCTTTTTCAAAAAATGAATTTTAAACCCAGGACTTGGCTGTAGACTTAATAGTTTCCCTTGCTATTTACCTTTTTCAGATATATTTAATAATACGCTGCTTAGTCAAAAATCACTCATTTTATATTGTCAAGAGTATAGGAAAGAAATTTATTTTATATGCCCTGATTGTATGTTTAATTATCAAGTGATATACAAAATTTCAAAAAGTCTGGTTGGAACTAAAATGAACACAGCTAATGCGCCATTTCTCAGACCCAAAATACTAGAAAATATAGGGAACACAAAGGGAAACACATTTGTTCTATCTTGATAACCACACTGCTTAAATCAAAAAATTTATCTCCTCAGGAATAAAATGAAGATGTCACATAAACTTTTTCATACCCGAGTATTTTTTTCCAACAAGATATAACTAATTCATTCAGTGTACATAATTTTCAGATATAGGACTTCACTAGGACAGTGTTTATTATAAGAGATCAAGCCAGAAAGACCTACACTGAAAAACCTGGAAGTGTTATAATAATAATTGCACCTGTATTCCCAGCATTCAGGAGGCTGAGGTAGAAAGACTGCTGTGAGTTTGAGATCAGCCTGGGCTACATAGTGAGTTCAAGCCAGTCTGAACTACATAGCAAGACCCTGTCTCAAAAAACAAAACAAAACAAACAAACAAATAAATAAAATGATAATTGGTGAGCCCTACTTCACCAATTCAGACCAACTAAACCACAGTGTCTAGAGGTAGGAACTAGAAAGCTGTATTTTTTTACAGGCAACCCAAGGAATTCTTTTATAAATTAAATGTTTCCCAAATGTTACTTATTAAATTAGTAGCAAAAGAAGAAAAGTTTGAAAATCTAAATACAAACTTCCATTTTGAAGAAAACAACATCCACTTCCTCTTCTGCCACATGTGAAAAGTTAGATCATCGATAAAACATTCTGTATTATAAAAGAAGCCTTCAACTGAAGATAGATTTATAACATTTCCTTTGAGGTTGCATTGTATTTATTTTGTGTCACTTGTCAGTTTTAAAATAGAAAACAAAAAACACCAAAGAGACTAAAATAGATAAAGAGAAAGAGAAAAATAATGAAAAAAGTGGACCAACAAAAAAGTGACACAGAGCTGGGTGTGGTAGTGAATGCCTATAATCCAAGCACTTGGGAGTCTGAGCCAGGAGGACTGCCCTTGAGTTTGTGCCAGCTTAGGCTACATACTGAGTGAGTTCAAGGCCGCCCTGAACTACAGAGAAACTCTGTCTCAAAAAAAGTGATATAACTTAACTCATATGTATTTAGGAATTGAGGTTACACTCACAAGCAAAATTAGGACAAATACATTAGCTCTCTAATGTAGTGTGATTCTCTGTAGTTCTCTATTCGGACTAACTTAGCTGAAATGGAACCACAACAAAGAGAGAAATTTTTTTTAAAAAGGTTTTTTTATTCATGTTTCTAGATTCTTTCGAGATACATATACTATTTAAGTGCTAGCTGGATGTGGTGGTGCAATCCTGTAATCCTAGCAGTCAGGAAGCTGAGGCAGGAGGATCACAAGTCTGAGGGCAGCCTGGTGTACATAATGAGCTCAAGGCCAGCCTGAACCACACAGTGAGACCCTGTCTCAAAAAACAACAAACAAAAAAGTTTAAGTGCTCAAACTTAGGAAACGCAAACTATTTCTACAGACTTTTACATGACAAAATTTATGAAACTCTCCCCTTATTTGCAGTCTTTCTGTGGGGAAGATCTCAAGCAATAATGGGGTAAAAGTATAATGCAAAAAAATTACATAGGAAGATTAATTAGAAATATGGCTAATATATTTATTTATGGCAGTACTGGGAATTGAACTCAGGACCTCAGGCATGCTAAGTAAGCACTCAACTGCTGAGCTCATCTCCAGCACAAACTGTAGATAATCTTACATCTCAAACATTTTGTAGAAGCATGACTTTCAACAAAAATTATTGAGTAATATTTGGCACTTGATTCTTTCCTGAAATCTACAAAATAAAATAAATAATTTATAGTAGAGTATATTGCAAGATTTATATTCTTCAGACATCTAATTTGGTATCTAGAAAGATAAAAGTCTAACATATTGATAAAATGTGAATAACGTAATAGATGATTACTTGCTATTCTCTTTCTTCTTACAGAAAAGATAGGATCAGATTTTTAAAAATACAAAGCTTATACACAATACTTCTTAAACATTTTAGATCCCTATGAAAAAGCTTAATATAAATTATTGACAACCAAAAATGGACAGCAAGGTATAGAGGTAAGGGGAAGGAGGAGGGGCATCTAGTCATTTAAAGGCGAGCAAAATATCTTAGAGAAAATACCCAAAAGGCAAGAAAAAAACTTAAGAAATGAGAAATAAGCTTAGATCCAGGTTTTCTAGCAGGGCAGTAAGCTATGTAGTGCATGGCTGAGCTATGGTCCAAAAAAATCAACTAGTTATCTTTTATTCAGCCCCAGAACCCTTTTGGTTCTAACCCTTCACTACATACAACCCTTTCTTTTTTCCTTATTTTCGTGGGTTAGCCATTCTGCAAATATTAAGCACTTCTGATGCCATATACCAGTGATGGAGAACCTTTTAGAGCTTTCAATGATAACAAACAGCCCACTGATACAGCATGCATGCCATAGGTTCACAACCACTACCATATACTATATAGTCTGACATATCAGATACTATCTACACACTTCTCATCGTTATACCTTCTAGTACACAGACCATGTTCTATTGCTTTCTTTGTACACTAATCTAGGATATTTAGAGCAAAGAATGTGGGAGCTTTGTTTTATTTTTGTGTTTTTTAGATGAGGGTTTCACTATATGGCCCAAACTGGTCACAAACTCAGTCTCTGAAGTGGCTGGGATTATAGCCACGTGCCACCAAATAAAGCTAAAGGATGCTATTTTAAATATTAAACAGGAGTCCTCATATGAACATCCTACATAACTCAATGTTTTCTGATTTTCAGATTGGAAGTCATCCAAAAGCCAAACAACCAAATTCCACAAATTTGAATTTCACTGAAACTAAGAACCAGATTAAAGCCACAGACACCATAATATTCATATAGTACTACACAAAGCAGGCAAGATCACGGAAAAGGGATGGAGTTTGGAATAAATCAGAGAAGAGGACCAAATAGTAACAGATCTTAAGAAAATCAGTAAGGGCACTAGAAATATGGCTACAAATTAGAGCACTTGCCTAGCATGCACAAGGCCCTGAGTTCAATCCCCAGCACTGCCAAAAAAAAAAGTGTCAGTAAAAATATTTATCCTGAAGATGAGAGACACATTCTGACATGTAAAGCTATATCCTTTGTTTGTTAAAGCAGGTGAAAAAGCTGGGTAAAAAGGATGCCAAGAGAACTACCCTTGACCTGATTTGGTACAGAGAAGTTGAAAAGGTAATGAATGATACACAAAAAATCAGACACACACATAACACTTGCCAGAAGCCTTGTGCTCAGTAAATGCTGTGTAAACCAGCTAGAGGCTGTGAGACTAACCTGCCAACCTATGCTTCCTCCCAACAGGAAACCTGCACAAAACAGCTCCTCTCACCAGTCCAGCTTTTTCAATATGATAGGACTCACTCACATATAAACAAAAATGCTTTAAGAGAAAAGAGAAATAACAGGAAAAATGTAAAATCTAATGAAAATATCAGAAATACGTTGCCATGGAGCAGATGCAAATGACAATAGTGCCCAAAACTGTTGTCACAAAATTTAATGAAGCAATTGTTTCTATTTGGAAGACCAAAAATCCAAGAGGAGATGGTAATGCAAGAGTACATATCAAGAGAAAAAGGAAAAGAAAAAAATAAAACCAGAGAGTACAGTGATAACTACTGTGCAAAATAAGAAGACACAGAGACTATTAGAGAAAAGTAGCCGGGAGGGATGGCCCCCAACTGTAATCTCAGTACTTGGGAGGCTGAGACATGAGGATCACCATAAATTCAAGGCCAGCCTCAGCTACATAGTGAGTTCAAGGCTAGCTTGGATACATAGTGAGATTCTGTCTCAAAAAAACAAACAAACAAAAAAAGTGAGAAAAGTAAATAATTATGTTTTTAAAAAGAATTAGAAAGAAAATGACAGATATGTCAGGCAAAAAAATCAAATTCATATTGGGCATGCAATTACATGGAATAAATGTTTTAAAACACAATTCAAAGAAATGCTGAAATAAAGGAAGACATAAATATATAGCTTGAAAAAAGATCTTGCATGACGCGGAAGAGTGACACAAAATTCCCAACACTAAGTTAATGTATTGTAATATTATCAGTCTTCAAAAATGAAGAATCCTCTGGACAGCCTGGCAAAAAGATCTAATCACTTCCAAAGAGCAAAATAATTCAGGCTTGTCCCAGATCCCTCAACAGCAACGTTTACATAACAACACAGTCCTCAAAGTGAAATCCAGCGTATTTTATACATGGCCAAACTGCCTTTCAAGAATGGGTTATAGTCAAACTGTTCTAAACATGAAAGAACTTAAGAGTGATGTTCCCAGGTGCTTTAGGAGGAAATTACTAAAGGACAAACAACAGAAACCCAAAGAAACCAGGGAAAAAAATTGGTGATGAGCACTGAATATATTTACTGTGGAAAGAAATTAAAGCAAATGTGGAGAGATAAGGTTAAGAAAACCAAATGTATATTCCCCTGACAATGGAAAAATGATACAACCAACAAATACAAACTGGGAAGGGTAAAGAAACCATGAATATGAATTTGACAAAGTTTATTCATAGCCTCACATATGATAAAAGCATCAAGAAACATCATTTAGAGTCACCAAATAAATATATGTATGAGCATTTTAATAGCAACAGTAAAATGTAATTGCATGCCCAAGATGAATTTGTCTGAATTTCTTTACCTGATATATCTGTCATTTTTTCTATTCCCTTTTAACTCTCTTTAAAAAAATTATTTGCTTTTCTCATTATTAGCCCCTGTACTCTGGCTAAAATTAGGTAACTAGAGAAATCAAAGATAGGTGGGTAGAAAAATAGAAAGTTTACTGCTACTTAATAGAAGAGAATAACAGAATAGCCAAAGGAATAAAAGACAACTAGAATTATATAATATTAAGTTATTATAACCAGATAACCAGAACAAAATTACACCTTTGCTTAAACCCAAACTACATATAAAAGAACCACACAGTGAAGAAGCTTCAAAAAAAGAAAATATTAACAAAAAAATTGTGACAAACCATAAGCAAATAAATCTATCCTATCAATGAATATGAATTCAACTACTAAAAAGAAAAATATTTTCATGTAGGATCACAAAGGAAAAAACTGGAAGCAAAAGACATACCTTAAAAAAGTGTTTCAGAAGAGTTAAAGAAAACAAGTATTGTGAGCCTAACATCAAAGCAGAATTTAGAGTAAAAGCCATTAATCATTGGGGCAAAAAAGAGTATTTTATTAAAATGCTAAAGGATGCATTCACAGTATAGCTTTAAAAGCTAGATTTTTTTTTTCTATATAAAAAATAATAGCAACAATCTTGAAACAAAACTAGGTACCCTACCACTGAGCTATACCAACCAGACTGACACTTGTAAACTTTTTAAAAATTAAAGTTTGAAAGAATTTTACCTTCATATGATTTTTCAGAGGATCCAAAAGATTGAAATGAATATTGCATTTTGGACAAGCTCTTGGAAAAGGTGTTCCATTTTTAGACTGATTTGATGAGGTATTTGCACCTAAAATAAATTTATGGTTCAAAACTCATCACATTTTAACCTTAAATAGCCACTAATAATAAAATAACTCTTAAATTTTCAATAATTTCCAAAATTTTTGTATAAATACTAGTAATTTCTTTTTTATATGCTAGACTTCATATTTACCTTTTGATGGCATAGCCTGGGAAGATGTCTGGGAAGGTGAGTTAATTGAAGGGAACACAGCTGAGGAATCTGTTGCAGAAACACTTTCACTGGGCTTAGGCTTTTTTGGATTAACACTGTTTCCTTCAGAAGCTGAAGGACGTTTTGATATAAATGAACTTTCATTCACACCTAGAACAATTTTAGCAGTGGGAAAAATAATAAATAATTTAGAATATTGCTTATAACTATTGCTTAAAATGCTTGGGAGCTAAATTACAGATACACACAGAAACTGAGTGATACAAACTCAAGATGGGTAAAGAAATAGCATGAATGTTTATCATACACTACATATATTCAAATAATTCACAAAATATTTACACACAAGAAAATTCTAAATATGGCTTCAAAATAAGCAAATATATAAGTAATTATAATAAAAGAAGCCAGACCAATATATCATAAAAGTAAAAAAAAAAAAAAGGCAGAAAATACTCTGAACTACTTACAAATGAATTATCTTTAGCTTTAGATGCTTAAGTTCATTAGAGAGTGTAATAAGCAAAATGACAAATAATTTTTATTTGTTCCAAAACTTTAAAGATCCTTAAGATGCTTTTTTATTTAACAACTTAAATAAATTGTAAAAATGTTATTTTCCCACTTAACAAAGTGAAGAATGGTCTACTCTTGGCTTTAGGTGATATCCACTTATTGCAATGCACAAAGTGATATATATTCATTCATATTAAAGGGCATATAATGCAAGGAGTTAGCATAAGGATTTTTATACTATATTCCCCGTAGTTTAATGGGTTTAAAGGAATAAATTGGGCATGTTTTCACAGAGAAATTCTTTTCCATTTTATTATTTAGACCCGTGCATAAAATATTGTTAGTATAGGGATTTCATTCCTAAAAATACTTTTCCATTTGAAAACCATTACCTTAAAGCTAAAGGATTTTAGCCTTATATAGAGCATTAGCGAAAGAAAGGGCGCTATTTGGGCTATAAACCAAACCAGGTGAACTCCTTTTTGAATATAACACACAATGTACCTTGTAAAAAGGACTGTAGAACTGCACATAAAATTTAATTTAATAACCCCAACTATACACTAAAAGAAGTGGTAAATATATTAGAAATATTCCAGGCTTTTAAGTCAGACATGAGTTCAAGTCCAAATTGTGTCATTCTCTACTTATTCTTGTTCATTCGTGGCTTATTTCTCTGAATCTCAGTTTCCTCTTTTGGCAAGTTGTAATAACTTATTTTACAGAGCTGTTTTAAGGATAAATAAGATAACATATTTAAAGCATCCCAACAAAACATTTGGCACATAGCAAGCACTCAATAATTGACAGCTATTATCATTACTAACAAATTTTTTATATCTTAACTTACTTTAGAGGGAAAAAATTATTTCAATCGACTCACCTATAAGTATTTTAATAAAGGCAAATATGCCAGGATTATACTAGTCAGCTAACTATACTAGTCAGCTTCTCTGTTTCATCCTTTGAGACAACATAAAAATTATTTTCCCCCTGTCTTCAAAGCACTTGATTACACACAGATATATTACAGGTACCTAAGAAAGATTTTGTGTAATTACATTAGTATTTAGGTTACCTGAAAAACGGGTAAATTCTAGTATTTTGAATTAACTGACTGATTATATAACAGGCTAGATGGCAGAAACAGATTGTTTCAATATAAGACAACAAAAGAAATCTCAACATTAAATAATCACTCTGCATTTGAAATTATGTATATCTGTTCTGTTAGGCATGGGCTATTCCCTATCCTCAAGAGTCCTATCTCTGCTAGTTAAAATTCAATTCTTATTCAAGATCAAGCTCAGATTCAATCTTCTCCAAACCCCTACAATCTACAGATAGCAGTCTATTAATCACACTATCATTATTCATAATTGTCACACATAACTTTACCATTTGTTATCAAGTCCTTTAAGCTTTATAAATTCCTTTTTAAGCCAAGTGTAGTGGTACACACCTATACTCCTAACTACAGCTAAGGCAGGAAATCTGAAGTTTGAGGGACCCTGCCTCAAAATTTAAAATTGTATAAAGGACTGTGGATGTAGTTCAATGGCAGAGCGTTTGCCTAACATGCACCAGGTCCTGGGTTCAACGTCCAGCAACAGAAGGACAAAAAAAGAAAGAAAGAAAGAAAAATAAGAACAGAGTTTCAAATCTACATCTCGCAAATTATCCTACGTACTGCTCAGGTTAAAGTTTCAATCACCCTAGTAGAAAACCCCAGAGGGAGAGGAGTCATTTGTTTGTCCTTAGTTCTAAGAAGTTTTAAGAATTAAGACTTTTTCTACGAATAAAGTCCATATGCTTTGTAAAACCAGATAAACACATTTTTTCTCCATTTCTTTTCATTCTCACCTATTTCATTAACCAGATGTTTATTAAGTATGTAACTGATACCCAGAAGTGTGTATCAAAGGAAGTATTATTAAAATGGAAAAACAATTAGTTTAAACACTAGCATTACAGTGAAAAAAAATGGAAAAGAATTTGGTAAATTCCCCACACTGTTTTGTTTAGTAAACAATCTAAGAATTCCAAAAAAATTGTATACCTCTCTCTCCCTTAGGTCAATTATTTGAAATACACATAAATTGCTAGGATACAAAAATTTTCTGCTTGGTTATAGGGAATTTTCAACAAGACAAAATTCTTTCACAGCATACTAATGTATTTCAGGTTAATGAAGAACTTTATTATAGTAGTATACACACAAACTTTAAATCTTCAATAGGTAAATTTCATTATTCCTTCAAAGGAATTTATTATGTACAAATCCCTATACAAACAATTTTAAAATCATATTTAACTATCATATTGAAATCATTTATGAGAATGGAAAGATATAAACTTAAGAAATCAACTATAACCATGTACTATTTCATATTAGTGCTCATGAAGACAATTTTTTATTAGAATATTTAGGATATCTGAGGACTTCTCTCAGAAATTAAGACCCTTTTTTTTGCTTTTTTGAGGGTGAATCCAAGTGAGAATGAGTTTAAAGCAGTTAAGCCAAGATTTTATATAAAATCACTCCAAAAAGGCATTCAAAAATTATTATTACCACATGTATTATTTCACATGTAATATGTGAAAACCTTCACACAAGAGTATGGGCTTCAAAACAGAAAATCAATTCTATATTCATATTCATTAAGTTTCTTTTGGTATTTTTTGAGAAAAGAACTAAAACCAACCTGCTATAGAAAGTGCTGGTCCCCCTTGGTAAGGTGATAATCCTGTATCCTGGGTCAAATCAAACAGTAACTCTGAAGAATTATTAGATACAGCTTGTGATGGATTCGTTATATAACCCTGTTAAAATATTTCAAAGGAAGAATATTGTATCTATTCAAATACTTACAATTATTTTGCTTCATGAACTTTTATAAAGGCAAATTTAACTGTATACCAGTAATTCTAAGGATATTTTGATGACTCTATTAATATATTTAAAAACAAAAATGTAATTACTAATTTGCCAAAATAATCATCTACCAAAGCTGAAGGCAAGCTAATACAGCTGGTTTTTTCCTGACCAGCTGACTACAAGTAGCCAAGCTTAGGAGGCAAATTGTAGTACAACTTTTTCAAGATAAAAGAAACATAAATTCTCTATCAGTAAGACTGATACACCATACAGTGATTCTAACAATGCAGTATCACCATCAAGGAGCAAAAATTAGAACTCAGCAAAATTTTTGTGCATAAACAAAAAGAACAATAGAAAACATAGTCATAACTACAAAAAGTAAAAGCTCCTATATCTCTAAAAATCCTGTATCTCTAAAATATCAAGGCCAACAAAAGGGTAATCAATCTATGGTACTGTGCATCAGCACTGATGAATACAGCACATGCTTTGAATTTTGGAGCCATCTTTTTTTTTTTTTTGGTACTGGGGATCAAACTCAGGTCCTTGCGCTTGCACAGCAGGCAACGAAACCACTGAGCTAAATCCCGGGCCCTTGGAGCCATCTTTTCTGGAGAAATTATAAGCTATGGGTCAGAAAGAGAACAAATGGGTCCTTTACTCTCTCAATCATCCCACAGAGAGGTGTGCTAGGGTAAGCAATCTCCCTTCTTAAGGCATGTGAGAAAGCAACCTGGCCAAGCAAGGTGAAGACATAAGAATGCCAAACAGATAGGGTTTACAGTAAATGTTTAGAGGAGTGATCAGGCCAACAGCCTGCAGGCCTGGGTGAAAAGAATTTTCAGCCCTTCCATCAGGACAAAGGGTGGTCCAAACTAGCAGGAAAAACTCAAGAAAGCTGTGAAAACTATGGTTAAGATAAACCAAATACAATATAAAGCAGTATAAAGTTATATGTAAGTGTACACATATTTAGTATAATTATGGAAAGCATGCCTAAATAATTTGGGTTTATATACTCCAATACTAGTATATATTAAGTATGTTTGTTTTTTGGTACCGGGGATGGAACTCGGGACCCCGCGCTTGCGAAGCAGGCAGTGAAACCACTGAGCTAAATCCCCGGCCCTTATTTGTACACACACTCTAATATTATTTATGAAAGATAATTTTGGAGAGAATAAGCTCTTAAAAGTGACTTCTGAATCATTCTACATATCATAATATACAGCAAGCAAGTTTTAAAAAGCTTAAAGTCAAAAGGGAAAAAAACGGCTATTTTAAGAGGAAAACAGCCAAAGAACATAAGACAATTAAAAAGCAAAATATGAATGGTGATACAAATGAAACAGTTTCCAACTTACAACAAATGCAAATAAAAACAATAGCAATGTTTACTGAACTTGTATTGTTTTAAACATGATTACCTACTACAAAATAATCATTACTCTTAAAAGAGTTACGGTCATGAAAGTCAAAGAGTAACTACAGAAAATGTGAGAAGAGGGCTGGGGATTTAGCTCAATGGTTCCAGAGCCTGCCTCGCAAGCGCAAGATCCCAAGTTCAATACATGGTACCAAAAAAAAAGGAAAGAAAATGTGAGAAGACCAAGAAGAAATAACTGCAAGGTAAGATCATGAGTAGGATTCTGGGAAATATAAAAGATATTAATAGAAAAACTGGTAAAATTCTAATAAGGACTTGCAGTTTAGTTAATGGTAACTGCCTAGGTATGATAAGATGTGAACATTACGAGAAACTGGGTGAGAGGAATATAGGAACACCTTGTACTATTTCTTCTATAAGACTAATATTAGTCTGAAGAAAGTTAAAGAAGTGATGATAGCTGGGACTAGTGGCACATGCCTGTAATTCCAGATCAGAAGACTGAGGCTTGAAGATAAGGTGAGTTTGAGACCAGCCTGGACTACACAGTAAATTTAAAGCCAGCCTGGAGGACATATTGACCCTGTCTCAAAAAATAAAAAACAACAATCACTTCTCGGCCTTTTGGCTAAGATCAAGTGTAAAAAATAAAACACAAGGGCCAGAGATTTAGCTCAGTGGTTCCACCGCCTGCCTCGCAAGCTCAAGGACCCAAGTTTGATCCCCAGTACCAAAAAATAAAAAAATTAAAAATAAAAAACGAAAAAGTGATGCTAACATTCTCTACTGGCAAAGCACAGGTTATAGTTTTGGCATAGTTTGCATAAAAAACTTAACAATACCTATCAAAGTCTTTAAAAGGTTAATTTGATCTGATTATTCTACTATCAAGAATTCATAGTAAAGAAATGAGTTTAACAGAGATTTGTAATAGCAAAAAATTACAACCTGTATGTTCAACAATAGAGAGATGGATAAACACAGTACCATACAACTGTTCATATCAAGTTTTTAAACGGCATGGTGGCACACGCCTGTAATCCCAGTACTCGGGAGCCTGAGGCAGGAGGATTGCCCTGCATTCCAGGTCAGCCTGGGCTACACAGTGAGGTCAAGCCAGCCTGACAGCAAGACCCTGTCTCAAAAGTAAATAAACACACAAACAAGCAAACTGATTTTTAAAAACCAGGGTTTTTTTTTTTTTAAGCAATATCCAATGACATGTTCCAAGAAGAATGTTCAGTGAAAAAAAAGAAACGTATCAATATATAATATGATCCTGATTGATACACTGTTCTCTTTTCTAAACTTTCCTCTTAAAAAACATATTATTTTATAATAAAACAAGGGATTATTGCTTCTCGGACTTTTGGCTAAGATCAAGTGTAGTATAAAAACAAAGGATTTTTTTTTATGCTTATAAATTGAAGGATAATTAAATTTTAAGAATTTTGCTGTTACTTTTCTATTGATATGGAGTGAAGAAGTTATAATAACAAACTATTGTTGTAATCTAGACCACACCTGAGGCCTAAAGGCAGATATGAGCATTTGAGGGTTAACATGTAGGATGAAAAAAAATCAACAATGCCATATGACTCAGCCAGGCATGGTGGCACATGCTGTAATCCCAGTACTCAGAAGGCTAAGGCAGGAGGATTGATGCAAGTTCTCCTGGGCTATATAATGAGTTCAAGGCCAGCCTGAACTACATAGTGTAATCTTGTCTCAAAAAACCAAATAAATAAACAAACAAGTTTATGATGCCATATGACTTAACTGGAACCAAATACAATCTTAGTTGAAGGTAAATATTTTCTCTAAATATCTGTACTTTTAAAAAATGGAAAATATGCGGCCAGGGATTTAGCTTAGTGATGGTGCCACCTGCCTCGCAAGCACAAGGTCCTGAGTTCGATCCCTGGTACCAAAAAAAAGCTTTTCTAGAAAACTCTGAAGAGTTAATTATTGCAATTTCAGACAGCAGATAATTCATTATTCAACAAATAACTAGCTGAAATAATTCTCCAATAAGGAATTTTTAATGTCTTTAAAGCAGTAAATAAAGATGTTAAGTACAAGTAGGGTAGAATAAGCACTTTAGTGGGATTCAGATACTATCGCTCGCTTTTCTTTTTTTTTTCTTTTTGGTTTTTTTGAGACAAGGTTTCACTATGCATTTCAGGCTGGTGTTGAATTCACTATGTAGTCCAGGCTAGCCTTGAACTCTGCCTCAGCTTCCTGAGTGTTGCGATTATAGGCATGAGCCACCACACCCAGCTCCCTCAACTTATAAATAGTTAAGATTAAATGTGGTTAAGGAAGACACTCTCAATAAACAATTACTTTATTGATGGAGCTGAAATTAGAATCCAAGCCTGATTACAAAGCCCATGTCCTTAAGTTAGATCACACTGACTTTATAAGTAATAATAATAATAATAAATTCTATACCAATCTACTTGAAAGAAATGTTGAAATACAGATATTCCATGAAAACACACAAAACATGACACAAAATGGAAAACAGTTACAATTTATTAAATTCAGTGGCTTCCAAAATCCAGGAGAAAAATCCCTTTCATAAGATTCTCCATTCATTCCAGGTTACCAATTCTGTCATTCTTAACTCTGCACAACAGATTACCAGGAGTTTTTAAAAATGTGTCTTCGCCAGGCCCCACCCAAACCAACTGGCTAAAATGCCCTTTTTCTAAAAGAACCTCAGGACTGGGAAATTCCAATTGAAATGCTTTAAAACTATACCCACAAAAATAAAATACTCTGAGTCAGAAAACACTCTAGTTTCTGACTTTTATAATACCAGATTCCACCCTTTGCTTTTTTTTTCATTAATTTTATTGGTACGTTTTAGGTGTACAATATAATGACATTCCTCATTGGGGATTTGTACCTTTACATGATGTTATCTTGGTTCTTATTTTTTTCCCCATTCCCCTGCCCCCCACCTTTGCTTTTGTTATTTTTCCCCCCAAGTCTAATGTTGCAAAGATTTTTATCTATCAAATTACGTTACATAATCAAGTTCTCTAGTACCCCTCAATGCTAACCAGCTTATGATAAGCATGGGAAACCACTAAGTTAATTTGATTCAACTATTAGCCAACAATTTTTACATTCTGGGTAGCTTTCCACCTCACTTTAAGAACATTTGTTGCACTTTTTAAAACATTATAAGTAATAGCCTTGTGGAACCATACAGGATTCAAGATACTCCTGCAGTCTCTCTTAATGTTCTTATTGTCTAATTTCTAAATTTTTTTTAATGTGTTACTATTTTTCAAAGCCAGTGGTATCTAACTCTTTGGCTTCAAGTTGATCCTTTTGCACATTTAAAAATTACTGAACCCAAATAGTGTTTTTATTTTTATTATATCAACTGATATTTACCATGGTAGAAGTTAAACAAAAATTTTGAAATATTAGTTCATTTTAAATAATAAATTCATTACAGATTAATATACCATTTTATGAAAAATGACTTTCAAATACACAAAGAAATAGTGAAGAGACGCACTGTTTTACAAATTTCTCGAATGTCTAGCTTAACCAAAAACTGCTGCAGCATCTTAACTACTTCTGCTTTTAATATGCTAGGCCATGTTATTCTGGTTGAAGAATATAAAGAAAATCTGACTTCATAGCACAATGTAACCGAAAAAGGAGTATTTTAGGGCCCGGGATTTAGCTCAGTGGTTCCACCGCCTGCCTCGCAAGCTCAAGGTCCCAAGTTCGATCTCCGATACCAAAAAACAAAAGTATTGTAACGGTAGCTTAAAACAACTACGGCTCTAAAACTTGACGCTTATACCAAGACTCAACGGTTGGGACTTTCTTAAAGGTTTGTTATACTAAAACCATATCCCTAAACTTTCTGTACCTGTTCTCATAAAATGACCGATCTTATATTATAAATAGGTCTATGACCCTTGTATACTTTTATAACATATACATTATTAACTACAACATACTGGTTTCACTGAATAATGCAGATCTTTCAAATGTTGACATAGTTCATAACATAGTATCAGAAAGTCGTATTTATAAATACCACTACCCATCAGTAGTTGTGAAATATGGAGAAGCTGTGGAGATCAGCGTGACAGCTGTTAAATTTTCCAAAATTTAAATGTTTTCCTTGAAAGCAGAAATATTATCACTAGCAAGAAAACTACTATCAGTTGTTTTCCTTGAAGTGGCAGGTGTGTTTTGTTCAATTTTTAGGAAATGTTTGTCAAATACTCTGTGTGGCAGACAGACTCTTAGGTAGTCTCTATCATCCCCACCTCTTGGTAATCATATCCTTTGCAAGAGCCTCCTTTTGATTGTGGGTAGGACCTCTCTGCCTTGCTTCTCAGCAACAGAATACAGCAAAGGTGAGAGATACATGATTTTGTGTACATAATTATGATTCCTAAGATTATAATGACATCTTGAAAAGGACTCTCACTTGCTAGCTTTGAAGAAGCAAAGGAGCCATGTTGGGAAGACCCACCTGGCAAAGAGTAAGCCAAAAACTAGGAAGATACCCCTATAGACTTGAATGCTATCAAGAGCCATGGGAACTTGGGAGCAGATACTTCCCCAGAGCTTCAGATGAGAGTGCAACTCCAGGGACCACACCTTGAATGCAGCCTGTGAAACCCTAAAGGAGGGAATCCAGCCAACCATGATGACTCCTGACCCACAGAAACTGTAAGATTGTTAGGTAATAAGCGTGCATTTTTTAAAGTCACATACATTTGTGTTACTACTGATACAAACAAACAAATAAATACACCATGGTTTGTCATTCTTTCAAGTAAAAATGATGTTCTATATTTTTTTTAAGAGTATGTAGTTTAGCTCACAAATTCAATCACACAAGTGTTTTACCTCAAGAAAATAATCAGTTAAGACAGAAGGGCTTTATGTATACTACCCACTTCATCACACAAAATATTAAAGACTTGTTCAAGAATAGTCAACATTAGTAACATCAATTAATGTTTAACATATTTTAATACTTCATCAAGGAACTGAGTTTAACTGGAATATTTTTAACTCTAAGTGCATAGTAAATGCCACTGCCTTGATTCACAGGAAGGCACCAGCAGCTTCCTCTCCACTGTTTTGTATTATCAGTGTAGATGTCAACACAGAGAAAAGGCAAAGAGTGTGTCTGATTATGATGATAAGTGTTGACTCCCAAACCCCTGACAGTGTCTTGGGGAAGCCCGAGTGTTGCAGACCATCCCTTGAGAACTGCTGAAGTAAGGCAAAGCTTTATTTTCTTAACATATACATTCATACACATCTATATGTATGCATGTATCGGAACTCTGGTTTAGCTTAGATTGATATCCCAGATCTTAGTAGACTCATTTAACCTCTGTAACTTCCCTCAATTATGGAAATAATAGTACCTACTTTGTAGGGATGTTTGAGAATTAGACTATTTAATACACAGCATTTAGCCCAAATCCTTGTATAAACAACACAATAAATGATAACTATTCCCATTATCTCATACTTTTTAAATTTTTTTTGAGCTAGACTAACAAAGTGTGTTTTCCAAATAAAAAGCCCTGACTGCCTCTCAATTTTCTCAATTAAGAACACTTGGCCCAGAGCTGGGAGGGGCGGTGCACATCCGTAACCCCAGCACTTGGGAGGCTGAGGTACAAGGGTCACTGCAAATTCAAAGCCAGCCTGGGCCACATAGTAAGTTTAAGGAGGCTATCCGGATCTATACAGCAAAAGGCTGTCTGGAAAAAAAAAAAAATGAAAGAACACTTGGCCCAGTTGGCAATCTTATATATTCTGCCACTGTGTAATATTCGGTACTGACAATGCTTTTTATTCATGTTTTGACAGTGTAGTTTTTAATATAGTAGCTATTCAATTTTAGCATATTACCTAATATATTAGTAGGTTGGGTACTTAATTCCTGCAATTATTAATTTCTTTGTTTGGGGGCTTTAGGGGCAGTACTGGGGACTGAATTCAGTGCCCTCACACTGAGCTACATCCCCAGCCCTTTCTTCATTTTTTGAGACAGGATTTCACTAAGCCACTACGTGGCCCAGGCTGTGCTCAAACTTGTGATCCTCCCAAGTGCTAAGATTTCAGGCATGTGCCACAAGGCCCAGCTCTGCAGTTATTCCTTTGGATACTACTAGTTAAGCTATCATAAAGCTGCTGACATTGTCTGATGCCAATTATGAGTCCAATAAATGACTGAGATAGTCTGAAATTTTAACCAGGTATTGTTGATATTGATAAATAATAGCCAATGTTATCTCTGAGCTGACTATAGATTCAAAAACACTTACAGGTTTAGAAAAAGGCTGAACAATAACAGAGCTATTTGAAGGTCTAGATTCAGGATGAAAATGTACTGGCGAGGCAGACACTGGATTTGATGTTGAGTTCGTGTAGTGTTGACTTGTAGGCTTGAATGCAGCCGTAACACCTGTATTTTAAAATTATACAATATATTGAATACACTTCTATATAATCAATTTTGTCAAAATACTTCATTTTAAAATTAAAGTAGTATAATAACACTATACCTCGACTGAGTGCACCATTCTTTATTCCCCTTGAATACAAGCCGGGGTTAACTCTATTCAAAATATCTATAAAAAAATTATATACAAATATATATTAGAATTCAGGTTTTAAATGAAATATATACTAAAAGACTTAAAAACAGATACCTGGAAGGAATGTTATCACTAATTTAAGAATAGAGTTAATTTTACACATTTATGTAAGAAAACATTATAGGTAAGGCTTTAACTATTTCATAGAATAATCAGTCTTTCTCATTGCAACTCAAATTCCAAAGCCAGAAGAAAAACAATGATAAATTTGAGATATCAAAACAATCTGTACGACAGAGTTCACATATCAGTAAAATTTTCCAAACACATATATATGCAAGCTTTCTTTGAAGGGTGACGGTCTTATACACTCACTTGGGTTCCTATCACTCAAAATCATTGCCTTACTAAACCTCCATATTTCATTCATACCTCTAAACACCTTTAAATTTCATTTTAGAAAATCTCATTAATCTATCATTACTTTTGCATTCTGAAAGGGGAACTATCAAGGATTATGGACTAAAGTGAACTTACAGTTTTCTAGAGTCTAGAGTATCTTGTAAGAAATTTCAGATCTATAATTACATCAGAAGTCAATCTAAGCCTGACATGATTTTGAGTAACAGTTTACTAAGTTTTCACTCCTGCACATAAATGAACTCTAACTTTTGGCTTTTTTAGTAACCAACTAAAATCAGAAGAATGAGGACAAGAAAAAGTTTAAAAGTGCCAAAAATGAAAAAAGCTCCAAACTTTATAAATTTTTTCTTTCATAGTAGAAAAGAACTAGATGCTGTATGCAGTGCCCCACAATGAATGTAAATTATGTACTACAAACATGTACTAACAAAATTAAGAACTTTTTAAAAAGAACTAGATCCCACCTAATCTATAAAGGTTCACATAAAAGTACACCTGCTTTCTGATAATGTCAAGATATTCAAGATTAGATATTTACTCAAACCAAAGAACTTTGGCTCTAGTATTTTTAGTTACTGTAATGTACAAAACAGAAGTTCCTCCCTTTATGTTACTTTTCTCTCGTTGCTGAGACAAAATACCCGATACCCAGTTATATGAGAAAAGGTTTATTTAGCTCACAGTTTGTAGAGGTTCCATAATCGCCTGACTCCATGGTAGGGTGGCACATGGAAGTGGGCAAGAGTTAATGGCAGCAGAGGACAGCAAAAGCAATGAGGGAGAAGACAATACTGTATCCAGGCTATGGGAATAGGGAGGTGCCAAACCAGTGTACTGATTTAGTAATCACATACCCTTAATCTCAGCATCACACACTAGATTCAGCCACCTATGACCGCATGAGGTTGTAGGGGGACATCTAGACATAAAAACCATAACATTCCATCCCTGGTCCCCCCAAAGACCCATGCATGTCCCTCTATGCAAAAGGCATTTAAGGGATTTGGTGCAGTGGCACTGCGCCTGTCTCACAAGCGAAATATCCTGAGTTCAATCCCTGGTACCAGAAAAAACCAAAAGAAAAGGCATTTAGTCCATCTCTAAAAGTTGCCGAAGTCCTAACAGTTTCAGCATTGCTGAAAAGTCCAAGTCCCAAGTCTCCTCTGAGATTTAAGTCAAACTCTTAGCTGTGAGCCCCTGTACAAATGAAAAGAAAGTTAAATCCTTCCAATATTCAATGGCATAAGACAGACATTCCCATTCCAAAAGGTACAAACAGGGAGATACAAAGAATGGAACCAAAGCAAGTCCAAAATCCAGCAGGGCAAACATTAAGTCCAGTAGTTCCATGTGCAGTATCCAAGGCAATCTGTGGCAAGTTGTGAATGACAAAGGGCTTGGGTGGCTCTGCCCCTGTAGCACTGCAGATAGCTGTAGTTCCCATAGCTTTTCTCTTGGGCCAGCTCTGCACCTTCCTTGTAGCTTTCCTCAGACAATCCACACTCCTGGCTTCGCCACACTTCTGGGGTCTCCACTGCACTTTTGGCCTCACACTCACAGCTTCACACACTGCCCTTCTCAGGGCCACACTGCCCAGCCTCCAGGACTTCTTCTGAAATCTGGGTGGAAGCCTTCCTGACCCCACAACTCTTTTCATTCTGCCTGCACCTAAAACCAGCACCACATGGAGGATGCCCAGGTCTGCTGCCAGCTGGAGCAGTAGCTAGTTTCCCCTCTCTTGGCTGTAAGAGTTGAGTGCCTGGATCGCTGAGCACGCTAACTCCAATACGGAGGAACAAATTCTTTAGGGTGCTGCCATTCTGGAACATGGTGCTCTGGGGCTCCCTTCTGAAAGCAAAGCCTTTCACTTTTGCAATTTTGAGGCTGCAAAGAGTGGAGTCCTGCTGCTTTTTTCTAATGCCCTCAGGCCATCTTTTCTATTCTGTTCCTTCTCAGCAATGAAGATCTCTTCTGCTCTATCTCTGCTGTCCACAGCTTTATTGGAGCTTCCTTTCTGGCCAAACTCAAAATGTTTTGAATCATTCTGCTGGGCTCTTTGCTCTTGATTCTCAACATAAATCTGGCTAAAAGCCCCCAACAGTAGCCATGCCACCACCTCAATATTTGACTGCCTTGAAATTTCTTCTGTGAGGTTAATTTGTCTACTGCCCCTAACCTCAAGTCTCAGGCAAAGTCTCTGGACACAAGCAAAATGCAGACAAAACTTTCTGCCAAGCCATAATACACATTGTCTGGAGTCCAACAACCAGTGTAGTCCTTCTTTCCAGAAGAAACCATCCAAGCCTTGTCTTTACCGGCAACTTTTCTATCACCATTCTGGTCTTCTGAGCTCTGACCAGAATCACCCATCAAGTACAGCTTAAGGTGTTACAGTTTTTGAGCTGGCATCTTTGAACCTTTTCCAAACTCTTTCCACAAGCCAGTCCCAAAAGCTCCTGAACCACATGATCAGCTACAGTCACAGCAACGAGCCCACTTCTCTGGTACCAAATTCTGTGTTAAGTTACTTTTCTCTCATTGCTGATAAAATACAAAGTACCCGACACCCAAAGTTAAAGGAGGAAAAGTTTATTTAGCTCACAGTCTGTAGAAGTTTCAATCCATAACTGGCTGGCTCCAAAGCAGGATGGTATATGGAAGACAGCAACAGTTAATGACGGTGGAAGACAGCAAAAGTAACAAGGGAGAAGACAAGCCTCTTTCTGTCTCTTATATTGTAACCAGACAACAGGATTAGGGAGGTGCCAAAACAATCAGTGTACTGATTTAGTAATCACATACCCTTAATTCAAGCATCACACACTCTAGATGTAGCCACCTATGACTGCATGAGGCTTTGGGAGAACATCTAGACCCAAACCATAACACCTCCTTTCTGGCAGTTCTATACAACCATTTAACTCATATCCTTATATTAAAATGTTATGGGTTCCATATAAAACCACAACAAAATCATTTAAATTTTTTTATTTTTACAGTTCAGAAAAGAAATCCTACTAGAGGTCAATCCCTTTCTGAGAGAATTATTTTAAAACTAATTTACACTGTTCTAGTTGAATACTGTTAACAGTCATCTGCAATCAGTATTAATTTGAGTCTTAACTGTCATATTTTCAATAAGGGATGTTGAATAAAAATTCTCCAATACTCCAACATAAGATAAGATAATCAGTGGCTAGGATACAATAATCAAGACAATATAATCTTATGTTCTACTACTATCACCAACTTGCATACAGTCAGGCCAAATTCATTTTATAATCTAAGAGGTACTCAACTCCATGAGAGAATAACAATCTGCCAATGGAATTACTATTGAAAATTCAATTGGTTAAATTACTTCTCCAGTGATAAAACTGAATTAAAATGCCATTCCAGCTTAAAAGCAACAGGAGCAAGAATTAGGCTAAAATTTTTATAAACTTTAAAGTAGTCTCTTAATCATATGTTTAACCACTGCCATTGGTAAGAAAATACTAATATTCTGGGTACATAACATTCTTCAGTAAATTCTCCTGGCTTCAAATAAAATGGGTAAGGATTTATTTTCTCTTTCTCCTTAAAATGTGTACATTTTCCCTCCAGACTTTAGACATTTTTGAATGACCATTTTAATAAATAACAATATCTTTGCTTTAACAATGTAACAATGTCAAGTCCAATTACTCTAACTGAAAGCTAATAATCTGTTCTGGTTTGGGTCTAGATGTCCCCGCCAAAGATTCATGGAGTCATAGGTGGGTGAATCTAGAGTGTGTGATGCTAGGACTCAGGGTGTGTGACTACTAAACCACTACACATGAGTGATTGGTTTAGCACCGCCCAAATCCTGGTAGTCTGAATAAGATAAAAGGAGGAGAAATACACTGTTAAAGCCCCTTGTTGCTTTTCCTGCATTCTGCTGCCATGAACTGTTGGCCCTCTGTCACCCTGCCTTGGAGCCTGCTGATTAAGGACTGAAACTTCTATGAACTGTAAACCAAATAAACCCTTTCCCCTTTAACTTTTGGTGCCAGGCATTTTGTCTCAGCAACAAGAGAAAAGTAACTAAAACATAATCCAAAAGAGGTTGTTTTACTAGCAAGCCCCCAAAATTTAAGTGTGCTAACTGTTACACCATTAAAGTATAGTACCTATAGGCAATGCCTTCTCTTTCATGAACAGAAATATGAGCTGCTAAAGACTGCTGTGGTTAGAAGCTACAGCCCATTAGTACACAGGTCAGAGATGGTGTCATCATTCATTGCCTATACATTCGGTAGATGTATATTTGTGCGGATGACACCACAATGAGGTGTGGATATGAGAACTCTCATCTGAGACTAATACAAACTTACATAGTACATTCCAAAATTTTAAGCTAAGAATTCCAAATCCTTCCCTCTACTTCTGTGTTTAAGTGGGAAAAAAAGAAAAATGAACATATAAACAGGTTACTCAGCTCTACTAAATTTTTATTTTCTAATCTCAGAAAACTTCCAATGTTACCAGCTAATCCAAGTTCACTTTTTTTTTTTTTTGGTACCGGGGATTGAACTCGGGTCCTTGCGCTTGTGCAGCAGGCAGCAAAACCACTGAGCTAAATCCCTGGCCCCTTCCCTTCTCTTTTCACACATCTAGTATTTAACCTCTAACCTTTCTCAAGTCCTCATCCTCACTGTCAAGTTCTTACTAGCCTCCTACTCAGTCTCTTATCCCTAACTCCTTTCAACAGAATAAGAATGTCAAGTACATGTAACAGTTCACAAGTTTTCCACTAAAAATGATACCTTATAAAATTTGCCTTCTCTAAAAATAAATGCTTACTTGAAATTGCTGGTTTTGAACTTGCTATCTCCCCAACAAAGATTGGCTCATCATCATCATCATCATCATCATCAACTTCTTTTACTTTCTTCTGCCATGGTTCCAGCTCTTCTTCCTCACATTCCATAAAGAGTTCTGCCATTTTTGAATTATCTAATTTTCAAAGAGAAAACAAACCTTAGTTTCAAAAGGTAAAAACATTTTTGTAATACATAGTATGATATTGAAGACCTACTTGAATAATCCTAATAGCAATTTTTGAATTGATATTTACAGGTCATGGTAGCAATAGTAAGAAACTCATCTTACCACGATATAAACTAGTAAAATTTAGATAGGTAGATAGATAGGTAGAGACAGACAGACAGGTCAATCAACCATCGATGACAGTATTTACAGTGAACAGAGAATCTCGGAACAGTCAATCTAGTCAAAGTGTGTTTCAGACACACACCTAAAATATGATTATCTCTTTGAGACCATTATCTTTTAAAAAGGTCTTTAAAAAGGAAGGCAGACTAAGAATCAACAGGTGGTAAACAAATCAAAATTAATGAACCATATTCAGGAATGCCAGGCACACAATAAAGCAGGGTTGAGGAGCTAAAGTACAGGCAACGAGTGAGGCAAATCTAGGGCAAGTTACATTATTTCTCACCTGAATAAAACAATCAAAACAGTTAGTGCCTCAATCTTAAATATGGCTGGACAACCAATAAGCAGGAGGAATTTTAGGAAAACCTATCTAAAATACCAAAAACTCCAATAAAACGGATGAAAGTATTCTAAGGAAGAAAAATACATGGACAAGAAAGTGAAAATTAATAAGATAAGAATAAGTATTATAAAAAGTAATGTTCAGAAAAAAGTGCAGGATCCAAAACAAGATAGCCAAAAATTTTAAATGCAGTTAAAAAAAAAAAAATCAAATACTAAGTTAAATAAAAGTCCTCAAAGCTGGGACTAAAAGAAAGAAATACATAAACTAAAAAGAGAAGACAAGATAGTTAGAAAATTAATTTTAAAAGTACGACATTCAATAAATTTACAGACGAATAGAGGAAAAAGAAAAAGGTAGAGGAGGCCAGGGATATAGCTCAGTGGTTTCGACGCCTCCTACGCAAGCACAAGGACCCGAGTTCAATCCCCGGAAACAAAAAAAAAAGAAAAAAAGGTAGAGGTACATTATCAAAGAAATAATGCAAGAAAATTTCCTAGATAGAAGAACATATCCATCTGTTATGTGCTATATGGCTTGCGTCCTGATGTCTCAGTAAAGCCTCATGCAGTCATGAGTGGGGTTTTTCAGAGGCGGCTGGCTGGACCTAGGGTGTGTGACTGGGATTGAGAATGTGATGCTGGGATTAAGGATATGTGATTACTAAAGTAGTCCACTGACTGGTTTGGCATAGTTCTAAGGGTGTGGATAATGGGAAGGCCCGCACTGGATATGGATGGCACCACCAAAAGGGCTGGTAGCATGGAAGGGATAAAAGGGAGAGGCAGGCTGCTGCTGCTGTTTCTCCACTAATTCACTGCTTTACTGCCTTCTGCCTGCTGTGAACTTTTTCTCCTCTGTGATGTCCCTCTGCCATGCCACCCCACCTTGGAGCCAGCCAACTATGAACTGGAACCTCTACAAACTATATGCCAAAATAAACCTTTCCTCCCTTAACCTCAGGAGCTGAGGATTTTGTTTCAGCAACACAAAAAGTAATTAAGAGACCCAGTCAAATTTTTCACCAAGTAGGGCTGGGGATTTAGCTCAGTGCTTTCGTCGCCTGCTGCGCAAGCGCAAAGACCTGAGTTCGATCCCCGGTACCAAAAAACAAAACAAAACAAAACAAAATTTTCACCAAGTATGAAGAAAAAATTTTTTATTTCTTAGGAAGCTACTATAGAATCCTCCAAAACCTAAGAATTAATGGACAAAGAAGACATAAGATGCATAACACAAAGTCCCAGGGTAGTAGAAATTCAGCAGGCCTAGAGAACAGCAGAAATGGGATCCAATAAGAGTACTTTAGAGGCAGTGTCTCTAGGAGAGCAGAGATTCAACAGTAAACTTTTCAACCAGGGGATGCAGCTCAGTGGTAGGGAGACTATCTAGCATGTGAGAGGGCCTGGGTTCAAACCTCAGCATTGAAAAAAAAAAGTAAACTTTAGATTACCTGACAAGTTTTACTGTGTAGAAAAACTAAAATGAAAGGATACTAGGACCGGGGATTTAGCTCAGTGGTTCCACCACCTGCCTCGCAAGCTCAAGGATCCGAGTTTGATTCCTGGTACCAAAAAAAAAAAAAAAAAAGAAAGGATACTAAAGCATATAGTATAGATTTTAATAAAACTACCAAGTAAAAATTAATTGCCATACTATATAATAAAAAAGAAAAAGGAGAGGTATCCTCTTAATATAGTTATACATATTATATGCTCATTAATGAACAATATTAGCAAACTACTATGCTCATTAATAGACAATTTTTATTTCAGGCATCATAACAAAAACATCAAATATGAACTGAACCAAACATTGAGAACTATATTATGAATATAGGTAGATCAGGAGAAACTTGGGAGAAAGGGATACCTTTAAGAAAGCTAATATATTCATCTTTAATGATAGAACATTGTAAGAAAATGATTAAAAATGATCATGTAATACACATCACAGAGAGACAGACATATGCATATAAGCACTCCTTGGGAAACCATTTAAAACTCTGTATTTAAAGCCCTTTTGATTATTTAACTTTTTTTTGATTGTTTAACTTTTTAAATTATGTGCACATGTTACTTACAGTTGTGATGGAGAAGCAGCAGCAGGAAAAGCAGGAGGAAAATGAGGAAGAAAGGTGGGAAAGGAAGAGAAATAGTATGGGACGTCTAAACTATATGGCAGTGGAGATGGATACTAGTGGTTCTTAAGCAGACATATGAAGTGAGATAGTGAGACTAAAAAAAGAAAAACCTCCAGGGTTCTAGCTTAGACAGTATCTTTAATTCATCATTTGTAAAGTTAATTTTTTGTTATACTAACCTAAGTATTACCATTTTTACTTGACTCAAAATTAGGACACTGTTCTACCATGATCTTAAAAGATACTAACTGAAATAATGCTTTGAAATAACACACAAAAGAAATACTTCAACAAATTAGGTGCCAGTGTTGCTTCTATCTAAATGTCCTCATAGATTGGGCTTTGGGAGTGACTGGATTGTGGGTGCATGATACGGCTGGATTAGCCCACTGACTGGTTTAGCATGTTCTGAGTACTGATGGACTTCCTAAAGCAGGAAGATCCACCTTGGGTGTGAGTGGCACCAACCAATAAGCTTGTAGCTAGGATGGAATAAAGCAAAAGCAGAAGGAAGATGACAGCCTTCTACATGCCAGGCTATGGATTGTTTCTTCTCTGCCATGCCCCTCTGCCATGCCACCCTGCCTTGGAACCAGTCCACTATGAACTGAAACCTCTACAAACTGTGAGCTGAAATAAATCTTTCCTCCTTTAACTTGTGGGTGTTTGGTACTTTGTTCTAGCAACAAGAAAGTAACTAAGACAGTGTTACCATGTGTAGATTGGACAGATTCCAAGCTCTTGTATAGGACAAGCAAAGAATTACAAAGTGTACACCCGATGGTGAAAGAAAAGCAGCCACATTTATTAGTGATCAGGAGCAGGGAAATGGTGCCAGAACAATAGAAAAGGCACACTGCACACCACACAGACAAACCAGGCTTTCGTGTTTCAGGGTGAGAAAGAGGGCATGTCCTTTGGGCTGGGGGTATACAGAATGGTCCACAGTCAAGTGGGTGGAGCGGAGTGACTTCCTCGCCCCTAATGTTCGACCTGTACTACCAGTCTTTCATAATTTTTTAAAAATTCCTTCTTTACATCACAAATCATTTTCTGACCTAATATATAAATGTTAACAGTCTATTCTCTCTTTAAAAAAAAAAAAAAAAAAAACCTTCCTATTTTCCCTAATGTCATCAACATCACAAACTGATACATTTCTCCTTTTTTTTTTTTTTTTTTGGTAAGGCAGGGTCTTGCTTTGTACTTCAGGCTGGCCTCGAACTAGCGGCAATCCTCCTGTCTCAACCTACGAGAACTGGGATTACAGAGGAGCACCACCAAGCCCACTCAGTGATCCATTTCTTTTCTAAACTGTACTGTTTTACAAATTAGACAAGAATTCTTCAAGTCAGATCCTTCAAAGTACTAATTTTCACTGACAATTCAAAGTTTAGCATTTGTGTATTTTAAATACAGTACTTGAAATACCACCCTCTTTGTGTACCTCAAAGCTATTATTTATACTACTTCTACCTAGCATAGCCTTCCTCCTCACTGAAACAATTTTCACCATCCAGTCCAGAGCATGGACTTAGTTCAAACCTTCACTTCACTGTTCTAATTGTGTGAGTGGAGAAATTACTTGAACTTACCTATGATATTTACCTAATAGAAGTGTTATATGGATTCAACAAAATGCCAAGTGTAATATCCAACTTCAAGCAGATACCCGAACTGAGGGTGGTGGCATACATCTTTAATCCCAGCAGGAGGCTGAGGCAGGGGGACTGCCTGTGACTTCAAGGCCAGCTTGGGCTTCATTGTGACTTCAAGGCCAGCCTGAATTACACAGTGAGACCCTGACTCAAAAAGCCAAACCAAACCAAACAAGCAGACTCAAGAAAATGTAAATTCCCTACTTCTCCTAAACCTTATATAAACTACTATATTTTTACTTCCCTCAAGAAACCATTATATTTTTACTTTCAATTCTGAACTACAATGACCGTATTATGCAATTCAAAATTTAACATTTATGATCTCAAACTACCTACCAGTCTTCACGTGTCTTAACTCTGTAAGTCTACATAACCAAACTGAGCTCACTGGAAGTACACTTCCCTAAATATTCAATGGGCAGTAGGCCCGCAGCATATAATCTATGAACTAGGTGAAGCCAGATAATGCATGTTATAATCTATACTGTGCTGGGAGCCAGGGATTTAGCTCAATGGTGCCCCACCTGCCTGTCAAACACAAGGTCCTGAATTCGATCCCTGGTTCAAAAAATAAAAAAATTTAAAAAATTAGTAATCTACACTGTGCTTCCCCAAAAGAATTCCTATGTTTAAGTCCTAACCCTCACTAACTCTTATTGTAACTGTATTTAGAGATAGGGTCTTTAGAAATAATTAAGTTAAAATCTGGTTACTAGCATGTGGCCTAATCCAGTGATTGGCATCCTTAATGGATAAAGAGATTAGGACAGACTTGCAGGACAGGAAGACCATACGAAGACTCAAGAGCAGGGCCATCTACAAGCCAAAGAGAAAGTCTGGAACTCTCCTCTCATTCCCCTTAGAAGAAACTAACCCTACAAATATGTTAACCTTCACTTTCTAGCCTCAAGAACTGTACAAAAATAAGTTTCCATTGTGTAGAACACCTATCTGTAGTATTCTGTTATGGCAGTCCTAGCAAACTAATAGAGTATATGAAAATCTTCCTCATTCTTTTTAACAGGGCCCTGCCATTGTTAACAGGTATAGAATATATTGTTTAAAAAAAATTTAAAGACACAATACTTTTATAATTTTTTAGAAATAATTTTTTTCTATGCACAAAACACGTACACCAAACTGATAAACAGTAGTTATCTGTATGAATACGGAGAAAACACTTTACTTTTACTTCACTTTTTTATGAGAACATTTTTTACTTCAACAATTGTAGTTTAAGAAAATATTGCCCACCTGTAATTCTCCTGAAGCAGAGTTATACAAAGCTACACATACTAGAATCGTAGCGGCAGCAACACTTACTTTTTAGTTGAAAGAGGTCGTCACTCATCAAGTTGCAGAGCTGACTTTCTGTAAATTATCACCTAAGTACTGACATATGACATCAGTAAGTTTTATGAGTCACTTTAAGTAACACTAAATATTGAAAAGTGAAAACTGTTATAAAGAAACACTTGGCCTGGGATTTAGCTCAGTGGTTCCGGCGCCTGCCTCACAACCGCAAGGACCAGAGTTCAATCCCCAGTACCAAACAAAACAACAACAACAAAAAAAACAAGAAACACTCTGGATGGAGTTCAGATCTTTAAACTCACCATGGGACTCCAAGACAACGTAGTTAAGTTATGCCTCAGTTTTCTTTCCTATGAAATGATGATATCTACCATTAGAGCAGATTTCATTAAATTAAATGTAGATATATATATTTATGTTTTTTTCCTCTAATAAGGTCAATTTTTAAGTTGAATATGTTTGATACATACATATAACTCATTTTACATAACTGGTTCATACCTTAATAAACATAAATTTAACAAATAGAACGGTTGTATCAAGCACTTACTACTTTAGAAAATCTGATGAATTGTTAAATAAAAAGTAATTTTTTAAAAATATCCTTTCAAGCCAGGCTTGGTGGCACATACCTGTTATCCTAGCGCTCAGGAGGCTGAGGCAGGAGGAGCACTGCAAGTTCAAGGCAGCTCAAGGATATACAGGAGCTCAAGGCCAGCCTGAACCACATAGTGAAACCATTTCTCAAAAAAAAAAAAAAAAATTACAAAAATGAGCAATTGCCTCATTAATTAGTATTATTTTAATAAATCTGACTTCTCAAGTGCTAAGTGACATTAGTCTTTAAGTGTTATCTACTCTTCACATTTCAGATATGTGATTATTTCTGTAAGAAAGACAATTTTAAATGTGTGTTAGTTTATTCTTTTTCTAGCTTGTGTGTGTGAGCTGGTGGTCCTGTAGATTGAACCCAAGGCCTTCACACATGCCCTTTTTAAATTTTGAGAAACAGTCTCATTAAAATACTAACTTATCTAGGCTGGGCTTGAATTTGTGATCTTTCTGCCTCAGCCATTTTTCTAGTTTTGCTTTGTTTCTTTTAAATCAATTCAACTGACAAAGAACAGAAAATTAGTTGGATATATTTCACCTTAGATTAATTCATTCAAAATATAACAACTCATGGTCTTCTGTATGGAAGGAGACATGCTAAAGTCTAGGGAAAAACAAAGATAAGTAAGTCTTTTTAAAAATAGTATTACAATAAACACTATTTTAAAAACACACAAAAGAATTGCTTTATTTGAACCAAGAATTTGATATGTGCTGAGAGAGAATTAGGACAACAATCCCTTTTACAAAAGCATCCCAAAAAATGAAATATCTAGGAATCAATCTAACAAAGGAAGCAAAAGACCTCTACACTGAAAACTACAGCACTCTGAAAAAGGAGATCGAGGAGGATATAGAAAAATGGAAAGACCTCCCTTGTTACTGGGTAGGAAGAACCAATATAGTGAAAATGGCCATATTTCCAAAACTACTATGTAGATTTAATGCAATGCAGATTGAAATTCCAACAATATACTTCACAGAACTAGAGAAAACAATCCAAAAATTCATTTGGAACCAGAA